ATTTACTCTTTTTTTTTTTTTTTTTTTTATCGAAGGTGGTGTTCAGTTTTTAAAACTGATTAGCGAAACATGCATAGGGATTTTTTTTTTTTTTTTTTTTATAATATCGAGGTGGTGTTCAGTTTTTGAAACTGATTAGCGAACATGCATAGAATCACCGAATTTATCTATCCTGGTTTCCATTATGCTTGTTTTTTCATGCTTGGACAGAAATAAATATAAATTAAGAGGTGATATTCAAACAGACCGCAGTGTCTAGATGCTGAGATTTTGCTTGTTCAAGTTGAGGCGGCAAAAATGTGTGCATGTTAATTTATGTCCTCCATGCATAGATACATAATTACATATACACGTCCCAACAACAAACAATATACAAATTCTTCTAGGATGTTTGGTCGGGAGATTAAGTAGATTAAGGACATGTAAATTCTTGGAAAATACATAAAATACTTATGTTAGTTTGTATTATCAATTCTACTCTCGAAAAGTAAATCATCCAACTTCACTTGCATAAAAAAAAGTAAGTTTTTTAAAAATAGTTGAGGAAAATACATTTATATTATGGATATTATAATAATTTATAATAGAAGATCAATTTACTTATCGGGAAGTTGATTTGCATACTACGAAATTACCCTCAACTGATTTTTGTAATGAAGCTTCCATATGTCCTTCTTTTGTTTTTGTTTTTTCTCCTCCTTTATACCGAAAGAATTTACTTTATATTGCGGGTATCTAGTTCTTTATATTTTTATTTTTTGCATTTTGCATTTTATTCATTTACGTTAAAAAAAAAAAAAAAAAACTAGAAATGGCAAAAAAATGTATGGGTTAATTTTCTGAAGTGGACAGTGATAGGATAGAAAAGGAGACCTTTAAAGCAGAAGAAAACAACGCTACACTACATGTATATGCATATATTCACTACGTATCTACACATAAGTATATACTCAGGTCAAGACGAGAAAAATAGTAAGCACGAGTATTCCAATTTATCCTATTAATTTCATATTTATGATATTAAAATAATTAAATCATCACATTAAGTAGAATTGCAATTTCATAACAATTACGTACATATATATTGCGCCAAAATACAATAATCTTGTATTACTTGATAAAACAAAGTCAGTAAATTGATAAATATTCTACTAAGGAGGCGGGAATTGAATTCTTACCCCGAATCATTTCATTTCAAACAAGGAAAATATACCAATTTCGTGGGTTATATTGAGCCACATTGCCGTTTCTCAACTCATTCGAAGCAGAAAAAAACAAAAAAAAAAGAAATTCTTTCTTTTGGGTGCCACTTGTCAAGCTAATATCTACCCTGAAACCTGCTACGTTCAAGGCACAAGACATTATTGTATAATGTACCTTATCAATGTCCGAAAAGCAAGCATGGGGATGGGGATGGGGACCCATAACTCTCAGGATACATGGCTCATATTTTTTCTGAATGTTAGCAGATATTTCATATCATGTTTTGTGGCTGTGCACGTTTTGGATTCATTCGAAGATGAAAGTAAGAAAGTGGACTGGATGGTAGTACTTTTGGCTTGGTTTTGTTTCTGAAATTTGTTATTTGGAACAGAAAGAACAAAATGTTTATTGTACAAGAATCTTCCTTGTATAGAAGAATACTACACCTTTTAGCTTTATCGTTGATGCCAACCCAACTCAACTCAATTTCTTTTTTATTTTTCAATTCCCGTTTTCACTGCAGAATCTTTGAATCAAAAATATCTTCCCTCCTTTTGCACGTCACTGCAACCTGTCAATATGTTCATAGCTTCATTAATTAATTAAAACTTGATTAGGATAGATGGAGTTCAACACAAATATCCCAGCAAAAGTGCAGATTACAACTTATTGCTTTTTCCTTTCTGGGATTGCCTGCCGTCTTCATACATCCATGTCGGCCACCATAACTAAATCTAAACCAAGAGAATTTTTATAAAATCTCCCATTTGTTCTTTATTTAAAAGTAATTAAGTCTGCAGAACCAGACAGATATTTGAATGCTCACTCGAGTTAGCGGGGGTCTGCTAGATAGACATTTAGGGGCAGTAATTACAATTTTATAGATGATATGTAAAATTTTCTTTCTATATATGTTTTATAAGGTAAGTTTTATAAAATATTTTAAAACTAGAGGGGCGGAAGCTACTGATGGTGCTGGCCACCTCATAGTTCCGTCGTTGTCTGTACAAGCAGAGACGTAAGGCTGCTGTAAGGAAATAAATGCATATAATCTGATTTTGATTAAAGAACATATATATTTATCTTTTTTTGTTTAACTTTTTCAGTATAAGGAATAAAATTATCTTTCCATTGACAAACAGTCTCAGATTCAAAGTTTAAAAGAGGAGAAACAAAAAAGATTTTGGAAGAGGAGAGGACACATGTGATCAGTAGCCCTTGCTGTTGCTGATATGGGAAGAGGAGAGGGCGCATGTGATCAGTAGCCCTTGCTGATAACGACAGTCTTTTTTATTGTTTATTTTTTATTTTTATTTTTTATCAGCAAATATAAATTTGTTATTATTAGAGAATAGCTGAAGCAAGTAGGAAAAGCCAGCTGCAGATACAAAAAAAAATAAAACCGCAACCTGTACATAACTAATAAGAGGGGCTTCTTTTCATAAAAAACACAGAGAATTATTTTTCATAATACTAATAAATAATAATGATTGTTGAATTTGATTATGGAGTCGTCGTCGCCAACATAAATAATTTGTATGCTTCCTCTTTGGCTTGGCCATGTCTGATTAAATGTCTTTCAAGGAAGGAAACATATATTAGGTATATGCTGTCTGAACGTTTCAAAGATTACAAAGGAAAATGGAAACAAAAAGACACCAACCAGCTGATGTATATTGCAATACGTACTATATTAACCAACACTAACATATGTTTCGGTTTCTTTTTTCTTCTGAATCATTACAAGTTTAATATTACAAAAAAAAAAAAAAAGAAAAATAAATACAAGTTATATACAAAAAAAAAAAAAACAAAAGAAAATAAAACATGGGGAGATATTGGGAATTCCCATGGTGATGGGCGATGGGATAAACTATGATGCATTCCAGCTACACCAACCAAGCTTATGTTTTCTAATAAAAAAAAAAAAAAAAAAAGGCACTTCCCAATTTTCTTGCTTGCCCATTACAATCTTATTATTAATTCATCAAGATTATTCTTAAAAGCCCAATCTACAGTATATATATATATATATATATATTATATATGTGAAAAACGACATGCATGTATATTGGCTATATATATAGTGAAAAACGACATGCATGTATATTGGGCCCGGTCAGGTGTTGCATTGGGCCTCAACCTTGTATATTATGTTGTTATTATATTTCTTTAGGTAAAGGTTGTCTCCTGAAAAAGAAGATATTGGAAGCTTAGTCAAGTCATTTCCTAGCGGACTAGCTAGCTTGTTGAACATGCACAATTCAATAGTATCCATTTATGCGTTTAACGGTTCACAACTATAATAATATTCTTCAAAGGATAAGAATACCGAACTACACGTATTAAATACTGAATACATAACCGAACTAGAATTACATAGATGTATGTATGTATGTATTTATTTATTGAAGAATAACTATATAAACAATTAAAGAATTTGTGGATGAGGCTTTGGAACTTGACCTTTTGGTTGGAGTTGGAGGAAGGGCCACCAAGACATTGATACCAGTTTTGTCAACATGATCTGAAAATAGCAAAATTGTGTTCTTCCTATTTTAAATAAGAGGGCAACTGTAACTAGGGCAAACTCATGGCCATGAATACTCCACTCCTTCAAACCCTAACCTCCACAGTTGGAAATCCTTTGTTTTTCTCTCTCCAGTCTATGGCTGATTTTGCATGCTCATCTGTTATTCTCTTTGCTCCTTCTGCTACCATCTCTACTGCCACACTCCAAAGACCGAACAAAACGCGACCACTCGGTGGCTTTTGCCTTTTTCTTTGAGGCCGGAGATGTTCGTTGGACGTTATCCGGAAAATCTTAGTCCTCCTTTGGACACGTCAATTTCTGGAGCCTTGTGGAATAGTGTTGAGTTTGACAAATCGGCTCAGACCAGTCAAATTGTATGTCTTAACAAATTTACAAACTCAATTGCAATTTTTAATAAATTAGTAAATAGAAAAAAAAAATTGACACTAAATTTGAGGATAGGACAATTTTTTGAATCCTTAATTTGTTGTAATATTATGCGAGACAAACCATATTTAATGTTTTTCCTTCATTACCTGCAAGCTGTATTGCTGTTAGTTGCCACATGAACTTTCCAAAGTTGGAGTAAAGATGGAAAAATTGGAATCGCAAAGGATAAGAAAAAAACAGCTTTCCATGTGATAAATTAATAGGGTGGTTTGGATAGTGCTGTTATAGATAATAAAATCAATATTCTTTTTTGTTTTTATAAAAAGATATATATATATCCGTTTATTAATAAAACACATTTTAATTGAGTAAATGTTGTCTAAAACGACTTTTCTTTTCTCTTTTTAGTAAAAGAAAGTAACTCTTCAGTTCCTTATCAATTAGGAAATTAGTAATAACCCTTAATCGAAAATATATAATGTATTAATTGCAAGTATCACCACACCAACCCAAGTAAAAATTATAGAATTAATCACATCTTAGGCGTAAAAAAAACTTTCCTAATCCTTTCTTAAAAGAAAATTGACAAGCAACAAATTCTATCATCTATTATCAAAATTATATTTTTCTAATAAAATTTAAAATGTATTATGAAAGTTTTAGGATTTAATTAATGAAATTATTTACTAATCTCAATGGAACCCAATTTTCAATCGTTTTATATGTCTTTTTTGAGTATTAGAAGAAAAAAGATTTATAGACGGTATTTTTAATCATTTTATATGTTTTTTTAATAGGAAAAGAGAAATCAAACTGAATCTATTATCAGATCGCATATAAATTATGCCTTGGTATGCCATTCATTTCATGTTAGTTGGCTTCCAAAATGAAATTTTATTCAAAACGCTAAAAGATAGCTCAAAGAAAAGAAAAAAAATATCTAGTACAGCTAAATCTTATCTTAGGATGTGGCCTCTGTATTGTTTATGCATAAAATTCATTAATCCATGTATATGTAATAATAGTCTTCAAGTGCAAACCAAACTTGAGTTACATATATATATGTATATGTAATTTAATTAATTTGAAGAATAACTATATAATTAAGAATTTGTGGAAGAGGCTTTCAAACTTGTTCATTTGGTTGGAGGGAAGGGCCACCAAGACATTGACACCATTTTTATCAACAGGATCTGGAAATAGCAAAATAATGTCTTTCCTGTGATAAACAAGAGGGCAACTATACTTAGGGCAACCCCATGGATACTCCACTTCTTCAAACCCTAATCTCCACCATGAAGATACCAAAAACTCTCCATTTGGGAATCCTTTGTTTATCTCTCCCCAGTCTATGGCTGATTTTGCATACTCATCTGTCATTCTCTTTGCTCCTTCTGCTACCATCTCTACCACTCTCCAAAGCGGCCCTTCTTCAAGCTCTTTACACTTTGCACTTGCATAAGCTGTTAAAACCGCATTTCCGGCGTATGAGTCTGGTAATGCAGGCATCACTCTCGGCCTTATATTCACAGCGTAAAGAATTGTCGAAACCCTTTCGAGATTATTATTATCTTCATACGACAAGGCCTTGCACCTCCAAACGTGGGCTGTTACTACGTTGAAGCCTGAAACGCGACCATTCGCATGTCTTTTGCCCTTTTCTTTGAGGCCGGATATGTCCCCAGAGGTCAGCTGGAAAATCTTGAAGTCTAGTGCTTCTTTGGACACGTCAAACACTGCAGCCTTCGATTCTTGGCCTAGTGGAGAATTGTTGAGTTTGAGGAGTTCTGGGTGGGGAAATGTGACGCGTGGCGGAGACCGAGCGGCTAGGAGTTGCCTGTCGTTACACGGGTTGACGGCTAAGGGCTTGTCGGCGGCTACAGCAGCTAGGTTGTCTAAGAAGGTTTTGAAGCTTAATCCATCAAAGGCTGTATGGTTGGTTGATAACCCAATTACAAACCCACCACATCTAAATGATGTCACCTACATATATATGTGCAAATTAAAACAGGAATAAATCCCGAGTAACATAACCATGTGAATAAGAAGAGCTAATTAAATATTTCGCAGAAATGAAGTCAGTAGAGTACCTGGACAATGCATAGTGGTTGATCATCCAGTTTGTCCTGCAGGATATCCATGCCCTTTAGGATTAGCTCTTGAAATGCAGGATTTGGATAAACCAAGTCTCCAAGCTCTTCGAGCCTACGATCACTGGATGCCACCACAAACCCAGCTCCAGCTCCGTTGCAATCAATCTCTAAACGCCCCGTTTGAAGATTCATCTTCAGTCTTCCTGCCAAGAAATCATATGGTACCAATAACTTTTGAAGAGTTCTTTTGAGCTTTTCAGCTACCAAATGAGGAGGAAAATCTTTATGGGAAGCAAAAAAATGAAGGGTTTGGACATTGAAGTTGAGCACTTGGTCTATGTTTGATAAAAAGAGAGATTGTCTTTTACTTTCTTGGGGTGGAAAAACCATACAAGAATCTCGGATTGTAATTTTCAGGTCTTGGAGAAGATCAGAAGGGGACTCTTGGTACATGGCTCCCATTTTTCTAATTTCTATTAGTACAATCTTTTGATTGGATATTTTGTGAGATGATAAGTGTTAGCTATATGTTTGTGTTTCAAGGTTTGTACACTTTATATATATGTGTGCTTGCGATGAATTTTAAATGCAACTTGTTACATATATATATATATATATATATGGAGACATTTTGGAATTTTGAGGATTTGTGGCTGAAAGATAACCAAGCAACTGTGACTGTTTTTGTGTGGAAGATAGTAACTGTTGGTACAGTTGGGTCTTAATCCTTATGTTAGCATATGATGATACTGGCACATGGGTTGATTATATGATTGAAATTTCATTTAAGAAGTGGTTGAGGGGGTTTCAAAGATATAGGCTCATAGCTAGCTTTCTATATACATATTACATATTACAAACTTTCTGCTTGTTGTGGCAAAAATAGTTCTACTTAGTTCTCTCAAAACAAAGCATATTTACTATTTATCTTCATTATCTGCATGCTGTTAGTTGCCTTGTAAGAGTTATAACTAGTTACATGAACTTTCTGAAGTATGGGTTAAAGGGATAAGAAAAGCAGCTTTCATGTGATCATTTAATGGGGTTGTTTGGATTGGGCTACTGGGTAGCTATAGATAATAAAATCAAGTTCTTACATTTTTTTTAATAAAAAAAATATATTCTTCCAATATTAAAGAATAGATGCATAAATTCAATTATTGAGCAGTGCACATAAACTTCTCTTCTTTCTTTCTTTCTTTCTTTATTTGTTTCTTTCTTTCGAGAATAAGAAAGCAACTCCTTAGTTCTCTATCAATTAATAATAACCTTATCGAAACTGTAAAATGTATTCGATAGACTATCACAAAAATCCAAATAGAAAATGAAATAAACCACGTCTCGGGTGTACAAACTTTTCTAATTCTTTCTTAAAGAAAATTGACGAGCAACAAATTCTATCCTATATTATCAAGATTATTATCTTTTTCTAGTAAAATTAATTATCAGCGGTTAATCCATATATGCAGTGCAAAATTTCTGCACATCAAGATCAATTTTCTGTCCACAGCCAAAGCAAGGGTGCTGCTTTAATTAGCTCCACTTGACATTAACTTGCACAGAAGTTTTAGGTCTTATTCTATAATTAGGGAAACTTGTCATTTCACATGTTAGTTGGCTTCCAAAACGGAATTCCATCTAAAAGGCTAAAAAGCTAGCTCAAAGAAAAGAAAGCAATAGGAACAAGGAGCTAGGACAACCCAATTCAACTCTTATCTTAGATAGGCAGCTAGTTCTCCAATTCCATATACATGTACATAAATATCACAACCATATTACCAATTTTATACGTAGTTCAGGGAAGAAAAATACGTACGTCCTATGATTTAGGGTTACTACTTACTTCAGAGTTGGTCACTTGCAAGAAAATTTTAGGGTTGCAGGTTTGGTATCCTCATAATGGTCTTGAAAAACCATGTATAAGCACTCTTTGACTTGGTATGCTTATAGTATTAGGGATCATCACATGCATGTACAGTTCTTCATATTTGCCAATCTGATCATAGATATTTGTGATTATACTATTTATTCGAGGGAAAGAAAATGAATACTACTTGATGGGTTGGAGATACATAAATTTTGATATAAGAGGTTGGAGAGGGCACATAAATTTCTGAAATTAAATTGTAATCATGCATAAGAGGAAGGGCAATCAGTGGTAATTAGTTTGAGGACATTGATGAGTCGTAAAAGTTAGGTTCAAGTCCAATCATATTACTTTTCTCATTGAATTGACGGTTTAAGATTGCACAGAGGATCAAAATAGAATCTAAGCCGATAAATAAAGTTCTGATTACATTTCCATTCAATTAATTTTGGTCGATTTGGTTCGATTTTGTTTAGAATGTGTATGTAATATTAGTACAGCTCTGAATTATAGAGACATACATGAGTTGATGGTGAAAGATAGAAAGCCAGCTAAATTTTTTGGTGTTTAATGCATACAGTTTATCCATCAACTTCACGACAACTGATAGATTTGCAGATTTCCACTTTGATGAAAGAGAAACGTTTCTTCTTGTAGTACTTTTAATTAGCTGTTGACTTCCACCGAAGAATTTGCTTTGGTACATTAAATGACATTCAGATATTGTTCTGCAACTTGCTCAACAAAATTTTCCTTCCTTACAATTATTGTTCTTCTTCTCCTTGCAATAACTCGTTTCAGTGTATGTAGCCACATAATTCTCTTTTAAGTGAAGGGGTGAAAGAATGTAACGTTACCTTGTCTAAAGGGCATAATGTGTTCCTGCCTTGATTGGTTTAGACAAAATTTTGAGTTGATCTTTCAAACCAAATTGGTCAAGTTAATTCTAAATAATTCAATTACCAAAATACTTGTTTTCTTAGTATTCCTTACCAGGTTTTGCTTCATAGTGCAAGCTATATAGCTCATAGAAACATCAATTTGACTGCATCGACAAGCAGAAAAACCAATAATATCCAATTACACGCAACCATATCATTAAGAAAGTTACAAATGTAAATGAATTCTATTTCCAATCAACCAGGTTCTCTGCTATTTCCTATCCAACAACATAAAAAATATATCAAATGAACAAATAAAAATTTTACTGCTTTCCTACTAATGCTCTTTCCAATGTCAGCCAAAACCATTATAACTCTCCCACATATTAACATTTACAGGCATGCATATACACTGATTACTTCAATCCATTTTGCTTACACTGCAATGAGCTTCTTCATCAAGTTTGCAGGATCTGTGCTTCCCACATAGATTGGAATCGATTATTGCAAAGTCTGTATTATGTACCCCTGAACACCTGGAAAACAAAAACAAAAAAAATTCCTTCACTCCAGAAACGAAGCCTAAAATGGGGGCTCATGAAATAATCTATCCATTACATACATGCTCCAGGCTGATTAATTAGGAGGAGAATTTCATGTTCAAGCTGATTAGATGGAGCATTTCTCTTATCATTCATCAATAACCATTTGAGATTTTTTTTTTTTTTTTTCTGGCAAATTTATCAGACGCAAAACATGATTTTTAGACTTAAAGGTATAGCATCACAAATCTAAGCCCTTGGGTTGGGCCACTTAGTTACTTGTAAATGGATAATAGCCCTATTTGCATAATATTAAAAATAAGCCTAAGTAGTGAAGCCATACCATTCAGTTGACATGTCAACACTTGTGGCACAATTTTATAACATAAAACATCAATATTTCTGTCAAAATTACAACCACAAAAGACAATATGCAGAATAGATGAGATGCACTTATGTCAATTATATAAATCTAATTACAACGGTCAGGATTGAGGTTGGGTTGAGTTTCATACATAATCTACTACATTCTACTTGTAAGAGGTAAAGTAGGAGGGCAGCACTTGCTAATTGGTCCACTTATGGCAAAACTTTCAGTTTTCTTTGATGTAATTGGATTTTAATCTATTTAGATTACTTGAAAGACCTGAAACAAATTGAAGATTCTACAGACATAATCATATCAAACAGTGAAAGGCCAATTGGAACCACTTTTTTATATCACTTAGCTTTGACAACAGCATTATTAGAGCAAATCTCAAGGACCAATACATTGTTGTTTTCAACAATAACATGCAATGAAAAAAAAGGAAGAGATTTGTAATATGAGTATCATAAATCAATTTTGATATACAAGAACACAGCAATGATATAAAAAATGAAGTACCTCATATCCTCAATATGCACAAAAATGTTGTTATTTCAATGCACAAGTCCAACATCCAAAGCTCTTCCCATCACGCTATTACATCTTGTCAGCTCCACCAACAGCTTACAAAAATATACATCATGATTCATTGAACATTTATGAGCCTCATGAAGTTTTATTCTCAATTTGAACTTTTGCAACATTTTCTTTCTGGGAAGCTCTCCTTTTGCTCTGGATTTGGTGGACGAATTCTCTGACTATGACATGAAATTTGGGAGCAATCTTACTCGGTGAAGAGACATTAAGACCTGCCTTTCTCAATGCACGTGCTACATATGTTTCAGCCTTTTGAAAATGTGGGGGACAGAGGGCAGGGACAGTTGAACTGAGAATTGGCTTCCCACAGACGACAGGTCTTCCCTGGGCACTGCAAATCCAAGTGTAATCAGAAGTCAGAACACTAAATATATATATATATTTTTTTTTTCGGGTTGGGGGGTTGGATGAGTAAAGCACTAAAGCAAAAACAAGTTCCACTTGGGAAAATATGAGAACAAGTCTCAACTGATAATAACATAACTCCCCTAGTGACAAGTTATCTGAAGGTCCCAGTAGCATCTAAAAGCTGTGAAATAAAATTTGTAAGAATGAGTACTCATACTACTTTATACACATACAAGTTATGTAAAAGAAAGCACATTCTTCAAGGACCTAGTAGAACATAAAGCAGCATTATGCATGAAGAACCGTAGACCGCTAGAATAAACGCATGAGAAAAGGTATGGCAAATTGCAAATACCTTGCCAAGTAAAAGAACCATACAAGTCGTCTGCCACTCTTCAATCTAGAAGGTTAAAATAAGAATTTGGAATTGAAAGTTATGACTTATGAGTCAAGCACCAATGGTTTATTGAGCTTAATTGACTAAATGTCCTAAATTCAGAATCTTGACACACATTGGATATGCTTTATTGTTTTATATTATCTCAATTAGCATCACATTCATGAAGAGCATCACCATACTGAGCTCCATATAACAACTGTACAGAAGTTGGAACAGATTTAAATTTCAGCTGTTCAGCAGCAGCTTACAATTTATAACTACAAACAAAGTTGATTAATGGCTGAACCATCATTCAAAGCTGCCCAAGTGATGATGAAAGTCCATGTGATGGATTCGACAGTCCACATCATAAGTTTCAGGCCAAAAACTCTAATATTCCATTAGATAGGAGAAAATGGGAAGAAGATCACAAGAAAAGTTCAATTCAAAAAATTGAAAAATTCAGAGTGAAACATTCTGCTTGTTTATCAGCTGAGAAAAATCAAAAGGTAAAACAAAACCAAAGATCTAGAACTTTTTAAACATAAATTACCAGATTCAAACTATTAAATTGGGTAACAATAGCATCCATAAAAAATCTCATGAGCGGTTCGCACTACGAAAGGTTCACGTTTCCAAACTTCTATTGCTTGAATCTGTGAATCAAACTAAATAGAAGCACTACAAACAACTGAAAACAACCTTTGGATGAGGAATAACACCAATAGGTTTAGCCTCAGACACAAGACGAAGGCTCAAAAAGTCACATGTGAAGCAACAAGGGCCAATATTACATGCGAGAAAAAGAAAATTCAATAACAAAACATCATTGAAAGTTGCAAGAAGAAATTGCAGTAACGTTTTCAACCAAGGAAAATCATAAAATCACCACATGAACCGAAGTATGTATATTAATATGAAAATATAAACAAAATCAACATAATTAACCAAGCAACAGTCCCAAACCAATGCCAAGACAAATATTTCCATACAACAAAATCAGGCAACCATAAGAAGTAAGAACTAATTGCTGAAATAGAATGCAAAATGTGTCAAGAATTACAGCAAATAAGGAGTTGCAAAAACGCACATAATCATATGCAAAACTTCAAAAGAATAAGGAGACTTAAACGAAAGCAAACCTTTTAACGACAAAGGTGCAGCCTTTATACAGCTTCTGTTTGGAATCCAAAAGTATATGCAAGTGACAAAACCTCGTCAACGCCATCGGTGTCGCCTTGCACCCGCCCACCGCACACTTCCTTAGCCCCTGACCCTCGTCGTCCTGGCTCTCGTCCCCCTTAAACCCTAATTTGCCATTCGATTCTCCAACTCCGTTTCCCAAATTCTCTTTACTATCGTCTCTCTTTCTCTTCTTGTCGTCTTCTTTAAAAGGGCTCTTTCCATATTTCCAGTAATACTCCTTGTATTTGGTTTTGAGCTCTTCCATTAGTGCCCAGTAATGCGTTCTGTAGATCTTAGAGAGTTGTTTGATTCGGCGAGATCGGCGAGTCACGACTTCCTCATGAGTTAGGTGAGAGGAGGATGAGAGGACGGAATCGACGGCTGAGCCATCTATGGTCATGGGCTCGGGTTGAGGTGGTGGAGGAGCGTTCGCCATGGTTAGGTGAGCAAAGATCGAGCGAATTGGAGCTGTAAGACACGTAATCCAAACTGAGTCGGTGAAGGTTTCTTGCCGTTAAATGTGATGCAGTTGACCGGAGATTTTAATTGTTTGGGCCTGGGCTCCAGTCCAGCCCAATCTCGTCTGGATCTCAAAAAGCATAAGCAATCCGGTTCGGCTCTTCGGTTGGATTTTTCATTTTGGTAAACAAAAAAACCGAAAAATCCACTGCTCGCAGCTACAAACCACAGCATTTATTTATTTATTTTTCAAATTCTGAACGGAATGGAATTCTTGCTCTTTCCTCTTACTGCCAAACGACAGGTAATATTTTCCCTACGAAAGGAAAATTTTTTCTGGTGTTGATGAATGTCAGTTTCAATTTTCAAAGTGACCTTTTCTCCAAACTTCAATATGCTTTGGTATAGTAATCCTAATTAAAAATACTCCAGAAAGTCAAAATCTTGCATTTATTAAGAGCGGAGCAAACAGCTTTTATGCAACAATGAGGAGGGTGAAGTGGAACGAAATAGGAAACAGCTGCTGTGTTCTTTAACCAAAACATCTTTTTCTCAAAAATTAAGTTACTTGAAGAAATGGGAAAGAGGAAGCGTTGTGATAAAGTAATTACTATCGATTCTGATTCTCCTTCAGCTTCAGGTGAACCCATTCTAAACCCTCTCTATGTCTTTCTTTCTTTCTTTCTTTTGATTTTTATGTTTTTTTTTATCTGATGTAATTTTCAATTTATGTTATTAAAGATGTAATGTTATCAGTGATTTTTCTTTTTTGTTGTTGTTTTTGGGATTGAAATTTGTACGTACGCTGATCTGGTTAACACGAAAACCTAACTGGAAATGACAAACCCATTTTAGGAGAAGTATCGATTTGTCTCTATTATTACAAGTTAGAACTCGAAAAATGAGTAAATGCAGCTAAAAAAACAAAAACCTTTTATTTTTCTATAGTTTTGAAGTTTTCTGCACCCTTGATTTCTGTTAAAGTTTAAAGTTAAACCTTCAAATCTAGATTTCCACGGGGACAGTGTTCGAAAGTGTTTTTTGACGTTATTGTTCTTTTCTTGGGGAACTTCTAGCGATTTTAAGTGATAATAAAATCTTTTTCTTCCAACATCAAATGGTCTCTTGGTTTTGGGTCTCCAATAATGCTGGAAGGCTCATTTTGAGGTTTTTATGCACAATTATCTTTACACTCACCCCTTTACCTTGAAACTGATCAAGTCTATTAAAAAATTTTATGTGAACAATGAATAAGTTGGTTGATGAATGATTTTACTATGCTCTTATAGAGGACCCTGGAGATAAGCCTCCCAAACAGCATGCTCGAAGAAGTAGGATTACTGAAATACAGGGTGAAGAGATAGAAGGGACTACATTACAGTCTCCTGATTCTGAAGAAGTAAAAACCACTCCTCAGGGTCAAAAGTTGACAAAGAGATTGAAAGGCAAGAATGCTGCCTCTAAATCCACAAAAAAGCTGGACTCTCTAACATTTGACATCCACTTCAAGTAAGTCATTGTCTTCTCCATGATACTGAAGTTGGTTCCTCCACACCCAATCTCCCCTGCTTCTTTTTTAAAACTTCATTAACTGCTCAAAATATCTCTATAATTTGTAGAAATATGTGGAGGAGCTTCCCGGAAGATAAGAAGAAGATAATTACATACTTTGACAGCCTATGGTTTGCCATTTACATGAAGAAATCCTCAAGAGAAAATATGCTGACTTGGATCAAGGATAAGGACATTTTTTCAAAGAAATACGTTCTAGTTCCTATTGTTTGCTGGTAGCTTCTCCATTTTGTTTGACCACTTGACATCTTTCTTCATGTTATTGCATAAGATTTTAATGTTTGAGATGTTGTCCCTTTAGGGGTCATTGGAGTCTTTTGATCTTCTGTGGCTTTGGTGAGAGATTGCAATCAGAAAATGAACTTCCATGTATGTTATTGCTGGATTCACTTCAGATGGCAGGCCCCAGGCGTCTTGAACCAGCAATAAGAAAGTATGTCTTTCATTCGCACTAATTGAATTTTGGTTCAGATATCTTTGTTAAAATTGAGTATTAAAATCATTCTCTATCTCCAGGTTTGTGTTGGACATTTACAGATCAGGAGGCAGGCCTGAAAGCAAGCAGTCAATTTCCCGGATCCCATTACTGGTGCCTAAGGTGAGTACAACTCTAGATATTGGAGACTTCCTAGACATAGTCCCTTAATTTTTTTACTTATGCCTTTTGAATTCTAATATTACAGGTGCCACAACAGAGAGATGGTGAAGAGTGTGGCAACTATGTTCTGTATTTCATAAATTTGTTTGTGGAACAAGTTCCAGTTGAGGACTTTAGTGTGAAGAAGTACCCTTACTTTGTGTGTTTTCCTTTCCTATCGTGTTTGTTTGATGAAGCGTGATCATGTATTTAGTATTAAATGAATGTTACTCTGTTTAAATTGCAGATGACAGATGAGTGGTTCAATCTTGAAGAATTCCAGGAATTCAGTGAGAAACTCAATGCCCCTGAAAAGTGATATTCTTACTTCTGTAAAACTCAATTGATAGAGAAAGTTATTGATGTTAAAAATGGGAAGATTTGATTTTGCTGTCAGTTATAGTTAAATCTGGGGGTATAGGTTGTGGAAAAATATTGCTTTCTTTTTCTTTTTCAGGTCCCCTAACAAATTGTGGTAGGATTTATGTTTGTGTAAAAATATCATGAAGATCAAATGGAAGAAATGAAAGTACAAATTGCTCCCTACTGGTTCTGAGGTGCAGTTGAGATTGTATGGTCACTAATTATCATAGCTCATGCTTCATGAAAGTCAGTATATTTAGTGGATTGGCCCGCAATGGAATATTCATCCCATCCCTTATTTTTCACAACAGAGAAAGTTTGTGTGTTCTTACTGTTAGAAAGAAAACAAAACTATGTTTACCAGCCCAAATGGTTGTAAGTTACCAACTTCCAAGAAAATTCAAAGGGATCAAATTTTCACCAATTAGAGCACAAAGCACACAATTCAAAAATGATAAAGAAAAGAAAACAAGAGAAAAAATAAGTTGAAGTGGATTATGAAGAACATCCACCCGTCCACACAAACGGCCACATCAGGACAACCCACATTGACCCACAGGACAGACACAGCTCTAACGGCCTCAAAGGCTCAAACTAACCACCACTTCACAAAGCAAACCCAGAGGAAAAAAAGAAAATTAATATTAAAAAAGAAAAAGGAAAATTCACAACCAACAGAGAGAGAGAGAGAGATGCTAGGCAGAACAGCTGTAGCCTCTTCCTCTGTTTCAGTGCCTGTTGTATCTCATATTATCCCTAAATTCTTGGGGCTTAAGAGGCTCTCGTACAATTGTTTCTCTACTGCAAACAGTAAATGGAACCAGAATTTTAAGTTATATAGCAGAAAGAGTAGCACTGCTTTGAGAATGGAGACCAGAGCAACAGCTCAGCCTTTGAAGAACGCTGATGAGCTTATTGACTCTGTCGAGACCTTCATATTCGATTGTGATGGTCAGAATCCTTCTTTTCCCTTTTCTTCTAAAAACATTAACCTTTATTTTGTTTTGTTTAATGGGTCATTGATAAGGGGATGAATTATTTTGCAGGCGTTATATGGAAAGGAGATAAATTGATAGATGGAGTCCCTCAAACTCTTGATATGCTTCGTTCGAGGGTTTGTTTATTTCATTTTTCAGTTTTCATTTTTTTTAAATATTATTATTAATATTCTTTATGTCAAAAGATGATGACGTCCCAAAAAGCAAATTTATTAATTTGATTGATAAAAATTTAAATGTTTGGAGACAAATGGTATTTTTCTTTTTTTTTTATTTATTTTAATTTTCATTGTTGAACCTTACATTTTCTGTCCAGGGCAAGAGATTAGTTTTTGTTACTAACAACTCGACAAAGTCTAGGAAACAATATGGTAAGAAGTTTGAGACTCTTGGTCTAAACGTCAGTGAGGTTAGTTCTAAACACGGTTTTTATCTTCCCGTGTTTCTGTTTCTACAGTTTTATAAGTTGATGGCTTTTAAATTTTAATGGAATCTGAAATTGCACTCAAACTGTTGTAGGAGGAAATTTTTGCCTCCTCTTTTGCAGCTGCTGCTTACTTGAAATCCATCGATTTCCCAACAGATAAAAAGGTAAGCAGCGACCTTTACACAAAGCAATTTGTCCTTTTCTTCGTGATGGTATAGGGTGCAGCTTGTGGAAGGACTGATAAATGGGCATGAGTTTAGGTTTATGTCATTGGTGAGGATGGCATCTTGAAGGAGCTTGAGCTTGCTGGATTTCAGTACCTTGGTGGGCCAGTACGTATGAGTTCCAACTACAAATTTTATATAACAATCACACATTGCCAAGATTAAGGCCAAAATTTTACCATTTCTAATGCGTTTTTTGAGTTATGATTATGTCTTTTTTCAGTCAATGTAGTTTTGTTAATGCATAACTTTTTCTCTCTGTGATTTTCTTACATTTATGCAGGAAGATGGTGAGAAAAAGATAGAACTGAAGCCTGGGTTTCTAATGGAGCACGATAAGGATGTAAAACTTCTTTGCTTTTTTTTATTTTTTTTCTGTTTGTTAAAGATTTTTTGTGGGATTTTTTTAGGGCTTTCCAGAACTCAAAAAGGATTAATCCTCTTTGGTTTCTGCATGGTGCATTCTATCTTTTCAATACTAGAAATTGAAGTAGCAAAAGGTAGCTTCTTTTTCCCAAGTTTTATGTACTCCTGAAAGGAAGTTTCTCGGTGGATATTTAGGTTGGGGCCGTGGTGGTTGGATTTGATCGATACTTCAACTACTACAAAGTCCAGTAAGTTGATTGACCTGTTAGCACACAAGTGCATCAAAGGCATACAAACATCAAGCAGCAAATGCACAAAAAAAGAATAGTGTTTGTTTTTTCTGTTTGCAAGTGTACATTTATGAAGGCATCCTTTTTTCTTTTTTGTTTCTATCTATCAAAATCATCAATCTTTGCTTGTGTGTGTGGAAGGTATGGGACTCTCTGTGTAAGGGAAAATCCCGGGTGTCTCTTCATTGCTACAAACCGTGATGCTGTTACTCATCTCACAGATGCTCAGGAATGGGCAGGTTTGAATCTCTTCTGCCTATCTAACCCTTTATGTCTTAGCATTTTCTTCCTCTCATATGAAGAGCATTTTGGATCTTTGAATAAAGAGAAGGAGGGCAAGCGCAAGCATTTTGATGAATTATGCATATACAGAGTGTTGTGGCGTTAGCAGACTTATAGTGTCTTGGACTTCTATCTGTGGCAATGAGGAAAATTGAATTCTGAAATGATGAGATGTAATGCTTTGTGGATAGGGAATGCGCTATGTACAATTGTATTATGGTTTCACATTTTTCTCTGTAATTGACTCTCAGGATGGTGTTCCCATTCTTGGGATTATGGTTGAAACTGAACTTGCATTGCATTAGTCAGAAGCTATTCTGGAAAGTGGAAACTGACATAATGAAAGTCCTTTTCTTGTTCTTCATAAAACCAACACTCATTCTGATTAAATTCATTCCAACACATGTTAATTCATTTCCTCTACAAGTTCTTTCTCAATTGTTTATCATGTGTGCTTAATTTCAGGTGGTGGTTCCATGGTTGGTGCTATTGCTGGATCAACTCAGCGTGAACCCCTTGTTGTTGGAAAACCCTCAACTTTTATGATGGACTACTTAGCAAACAAGTATGGTTTCAAAATGCTTTTTCATGTTTCATACTTTATTTCCTCCTGCTATATTTTGTTTCTGTTTTGAGACTTCTTAAGATCTGTCTCAAAGAAAAGATATTAAATTTCAACTCTATATATTGCTTTATTTGTTTAGTCGTGGTTATTTTTAAGGTTGACCCTTCAGTGTAACTATAATAATAAAAATGGCTGATGTCTCCATTAACGTTAGGTGTTGATGGTTACCTTGTGCGCTGATGTAATAAAATCTAAAACATTTTTGTGAAAGAGAATACAACAGAAATTGCCAGATATATTTGTCTCATTGAATAGTCAATCCTCATACTGTTTTCATCGATTTGATCAATTACAGATTCGGGATTCTCAAGTCACAGATATGCATGGTTGGGGACAGATTGGATACTGATATTCTGTTCGGACAGAATGGTGGTTGCAAAACTCTTCTTGTTCTCTCAGGTTAGCAGTCACTGAATACCTCCCTTAAAATTCATGTTAAGCCTGTAATGTCATCTAATTGAGGCTCTTCTTCTGGATAGGTGTGACTACCTTGTCAATGCTTCAGAGCCCCAAGAACACCATCCAACCAGATTTCTACACAAACAAAATTTCCGATTTTCTTTCTCTTAAAGCTGCAGCTGTATGAGAATTTACGAACCTTGTACACTGTCATTTCACCAATTATAATTTCAGATGTACGTCTCTGCGAATTTCTCCAGGAAATATGGGTAAAAAAAGAAGAGGTTTCACACTTTGTGGTGGCTCTTATTTATATGGTTGCTTGTTTTCTACCTAAAATTTGTCTTAGCAAGTTTGATGCCTGTTTCTGATTTTTGGTAGATAGAGGTGGGAAATGTTAGATTGATAGCTATCATCCATGTAGAGAGCAACCAAAATAGACATGAGAGCAGTTATTAAAAATACTTGTGAATTGTCCTAATTCCTAAAGAGCAGCAAGTAAATCCTTCAACTTTGATGTCATTATCTTGCCCTCTCCCAGCACCAAATGCCATTTTAATATTTTAGCCTGACCGACATTTAGTGGACTCTTCTTGCAAAGGGAAGGGTTAAAAGTGTAGAGATAATTTACTCGAAATGGTAAACTGCTTGGTGAACTGAATGGTCAAATCAAAATTTATTATATGTATCTTATCTTCTTATTTCTGGTGGTACCCTAAACTTTAGCTCGATTCTCTTTGTAACCCCTCAATTTTGCGAGATTCAATTATGACTATGCTTTTTCACATTTGAGTAATAATTATGTGCTTCACTAAAATAAAATAACTTTGCGGGATTCAATCATAATCCTGTATGGTCAAATTTAAGCATTAGACCGCTTATTTTTGCATATAAAATCCTGATGTACAGGGGTGGTTTGCATCGAAACAAAAAACTATGATAAAAAAGAAGATCAAACTAACAAAATTTGAAATCGAACTAGCTAAAATTAGATAGTTTTAGATCGAGTAAAAGAAAAAAAAAAAAAAAGGGTTTGAATAGCTATGCTAGGATTAACTAAACTACTTAGCTCGAATCATATCTATCTCAATGCATGTGACTAAATGGTATAATAACGATCCAAGCCAAATTAAATCAGTTTGGTTAGATTTGAATTTAGTTGTTTGGTTAGATTTGATTTTAGTTATTCCAAACAAATTAGCTATGTTGGTTTAAAAATAAATTTTATTAATTATATACGATAATAAATCAAAGGGCAGATTGGTGTCTTGATCGGACGTAAGCTCTCCTTTCTTTCATCATAAGGCATGGTTTCTCACCACCTAATGATGATCAAATCACGATCATAGGGTAGCCCGGTTCTAATTCCATATGTAGATTAAATATGAAATCAAGACTCCAAAACTTTTTTAGTTCCAGATGATGGGATTGATTGAGCTGGCATTCATGTTGAGCCGGCATCCATGCTAATTCAATATGGGCATGTTTGACCAGATTCTCCTACGACTATTACTTGAACGAGTCAATTAGAGACTCCTAAAATCAAATGGTTTTATGTATTCAAATTGGTTGGTAATCAAATTTTTAAAACAATTATCAGAATCTCGCTGAAACGAGTCAATTTAGTTTAATTCGATATTAAAAACCGCGAATTGGTTATCTCTAGCTAGAACCAAAATTTATCGAAACTAGACAAGTCTATTCAAGGCTAATTTGGATTCTTAATCCTATGAGACTATAATTCCGAACCGTGGCTTCAGTTAAAAAAAAGAAAAAAATGAAAGAACCAAAATTTCAGCTAAACATTTGCGTGGATTGGCTCTCGAAGTTTGCAGCCATGTTTCCTTTGGGGTGTATATCTTAGCTCCTTCTTCGTAGCTTATTCCTTTGCTTAATAATGAAGCAGCTAGCGTGGCTTATATCTGTTAATTTCTTATTTTCTTCTTCTTGATTAAAAAAAAAAAATGAAGCGATAATTGCAATAATAATATTTTTGTTCACTAGATAAATAGAAACTGCAATGTTAAAGAGACAAGAAAATTAGGTGAAAAATATACCATGATAATAGAGATACTAATTATGTAGAAATTAATTCCATTTCATAATTCATATGAAATATGGATTTTTCTTAATTTTCATATAAAAAATTGAGATTTTTAATCGGCTAAAATATAATTATGAGTTCAAAACTTCCTACTCCTCGTATTTTCTAGCAAATGTAGAATTACCGATTAGACCTCTTGGATAAAAAAAAATTAAAAAAATCTCTTCCGTAAAAGAAAAATGAAATAATTCGCACTAACAAAATAAAAAAAGGAATCCTTACTATTGCTAAATTTTGTCATTTTAAATTTGCGTTTGGAAAAAAAAAAAAATCATGTTACCAGAAAAAGGTAAAGAAAAATTTCCAAGAGCGTGCTGTACCGTGGAGAAGCAGCGAGCCAGCAACGTCACTATTTCATATCTCTCTCGCACTTGCCAAGTTTGCAATTGCAAACCATTAATAATACTAAAACAAAACTCAAAATTAACTACGATCTGCCTATCAATTCATTATCTGTTTCCGTTCTGTATCTGATCTAACAAACTCTTCAATTTTAGTCTCCCCATCTGTTTGATCTCTCTGTCCTTTTTCACTTCTCTCCCTCTCTCTGTCGCTCACTGAGGTAAGTTTAACTTCAATTCATGCTTTGTGTTTCTCTCGATTCTGTGCAAATGAAATCGTAATCCATTTGTTCCAATGCAGATCTTCTTGCGAAATCCATCTGTTTGGTTCACTTCAGTTTAGCTTTCGCATTTTTCAGTTCGGAGGATGATAGAATGCAGCGTTTGCCACTCCAAATTTTCTCCAACAAGCAAGACGGTTTCCAAAGCTTACGATAGGCATAGGAGTGACGTCTCTTCTAAAACGCGAGCGCTTAATGTTCTTTTGGTTGTCGGTGATTGCATCTTGGTCGGTCTTCAGGTACTCATCTTTCTACTTCTCTTTCTGATCTGTTTAGTTTTTTGTCATTCGCTGCTCATTATCGTTTTGTTGGCACTGGCAGCCTATATTGGTTTACATGTCTAAGGTGGATGGGCAATTCAAGTTCAGTCCTATAAGTGTTAACTTCTTGACCGAGGCTGCTAAAGTTCTTTTTGCTATAGTTATGCTCTTCATCCAGGTATTTTCCATATTTTCTGTATAGATTTTTAGTCCTTTTGATAGCTCTACATGTCCTACTTTTCTAGGCAGTGTCTGGTCTCTTTTTCTTAGATTATGCAATCTTGATCATTATAATGTTAGTATTTGCTAGTGATTGAACCCGTGTAGATGGAAATCAAGCTGCATTTAATTCTTTCTGTCGTTTTTTTTTTTCCTACCGACTTAGTAAATGAGTTTCAGTATAGTTTTTATGCTGCAGCTCATTACAAATGGTTGCTTATAGTCTTAGCTAATTCACTCAGGGAGCAAGAAACTTGTCCCTGCAAGCCTATTTGACTTCTTTATGAATTGTGACTTTTTGAATTTTTTTTTTTTTTTTTTGGTGTAGTCCATTGCAGATAGTTACTTTTATATTTCTTCTTTTTTTTATTTTTTATCTTGTTCTACTTCTCCCTCTCAGGCTCGGAGTAAAAAGGTTGGGGAGAAACCTCTTCTCTCTTTTTCTATCTTTGTACAGGTAAGACACTGATATTTACCAGCTTGTCATTTATTATTCATTTGATTTGTAAAGTGATTTTTGGATTTTATTGAAGTTGCTGAATGTTGATTTTGATTTCATATTTGCTTAATATTATTATTTTGTGGATCTATTTTGAAACGGCTGAAACATAAATTCACCTGTCAACTTTGTTATTTTAACCTTGTGGCACCTCCAACTTTTACTTTGATCCATCAAAAACTTTAACTTATAAAATTAAACCTATTAAACACTTCAACTTGAAAAATTAGATCAATTAAATGCCTGTTAAATAGTTGAAAAATGTGAAAATCACTATTCCAAAAGTTATTTTAACTACATATCAAATCAATAATTTGTATGTAAAAGCCAAAAACCGTAAAAACTATTGTTGTTAGTGTGGAAAGATATGCAATGTTTTGTAAGTTCAAGTGCACGATGGGTCATCCATAAAGTTTAAAGTGCCATAGGGCTAAAGTTGCAAAGTTTGAGGGTGAATTTATATATTCGGTCATTTTAAAACTGTTGAACCCTTTCACCATTTAACATCCAAAAAACTTTTTATTGCTTGGAATACTCTGAATTGCACATTGATTTCTGAAGTTGTGAACTGCTTGTGGCCTCTTCTCTGTACTTATACTCATTCATAAATCAGATCCATAGTCTCAAAGAGGTCAACTATTAAGCATTCTGTGGCCAATATGGTAGATGTAGTTTGTTATGCTAATATTGCTGTAAAAGGAAAAGGGTACTGTTTAATTTGCTAGGATGACTATAATTAAGATCTAAGTTTTCTACTTTTCCTGCGGAGCATATAGGTGATAAGACAATGTTGAATGTAATCATACATGTGTTGGTGCAAATACTGATGAAAGATGATGGAGAATCTCGTCTATGGGCAAGCTGGACAAAGTTCTTTTGGCTTAACCTTAATTGCTCAGGGCAGCTTAGCCGATGTTTGTGTAGCTTTTGCATCTTCTTGGGTTCTTTGCTGCATGTGTTGAGTGTCATATTGAGCAGAACAAGATTTTCATAGTTCAAGATATTTTTTGTTTTTTCCTTCTCCGGCTACAGGCTGCTCGAAATAATGTGCTTCTTGCTGTTCCAGCTTTCCTCTATGCTATTAACAATTATTTGAAGTTTATTATGCAGGTAAAACCTTTCATATTTTTAGGTCGTCTTTCTTTTTTTTTGGCAATTCATACTTGTAATATACTATCTTTTTTTCTGCAGCTATACTTCAATCCTGCAACAGTAAAGATGCTGAGCAATCTGAAGGTAAGTTACTGTGTCACACGTATGGAAGTGGAATATTCTGAGTCATGATATTTTCTATTATGAAGGACCTACCTCATATGCTTTTCCAAAATACATGATCAATTAAATGATTTCAATTTTTTATGATTAATTTTTCCAGTGCATCATGGTGTAAGAATGCTTGCATGGATTTGGTTACAACTCTATCTACTCTGTTTTGCAATTTGAAAATAACACTCTGGACTCGTTCAATAATCTGGTTGTAAATAGGAATTGGAAGTCAAATAGATATCACAAAGCTTCTATTTTCTATAGGTTGATTAAATTCCCTGCTCTTTGCTGATTATAGAGTTATCTAGATGCTATTCTGTCTTGTATTTCATTTTCCATGAACTATTCAGTTTTGATATTTGATCATGAATCATAAAAATATGCAGGTTTTGGTGATTGCTGTCTTGTTGAAAATAATTATGAAGCGTCGATTTTCAATTATTCAGGTGAGTGACTCTATATCTAAGGGAGAGCTGTCGGCTGGAAATTTGGTATCACTATAAAGTGCATGTGTATTAGTTTGTATGTCTGAGTTGTTTTGTTGATCTGTTAATTCATTGTTTTGGAACAGTGGGAGGCTCTTGCTCTCTTGCTCATTGGGATTAGTGTGAATCAGTTGCGGTCTCTACCTGAGGGTATCACTGCCCTTGGCCTTTCAGTTGCATCAGGGGCATACTTATACACGCTAATTTTTGTAAGTATCTTGTAAAGCTATTAACAGATCCGGAACTCTGGATGTCCAGTTATAATTGATTACGTGTTATGCAAATATTCCTATAGGTCAAAACTGTTTAAATTGTTTGAAAGTCTAGGTGCAACAACAAGGAATTTCATTTGAATTTATATACTAGAAGTACTTCATATTGATAAATATTTTTAGGTTTAATACATTAATTCACCTGAGCTGAACTTTTAAGAAAAATCTCATGGGACCCTCAACTGTTAGGTTGATCCATTAGACTCTTCAATTTATAAAATTATAGCTAGTGAACACTTCAACTTGTAAAATCGCACATACTGAACACAAATGTATACATTTCTCAATAGTCATTATTATATTCAATAACTAGGATACTATATATAATTTTTAAAACAAAACATTAAACAATAATTTCACTAGTAAGTACAATTTTATAAGTTGAAGTGTTCGATAAGTGTAATTTTACAAGCTAATATGTTCAATACATATAATTTTACAAGTTGAAGTATTTAATGGATCAACACAAAAGTTGAGGGTATCACTAGTTTTTTCTCATAAACTTTAGGAGTCAATTTATACATCTGGCCAATATTTTTATTTATAGAGAAACATATATGCATTGCATATGAATATCATATACAAGAGTGTACCCAGGAATTTGTTTATTTATTTTAGGTTGCTATAGAGGCTGGGGATAACAGTCTGTGCATCTATGGATACAATATGAAATTCCACAAGAGTTTTCCTTGGTAATCTATTAATGATAAAAATACGTTGAACGGACCCAACTGTGGCCTAGTACTAAAGGATACATTTCCAGTAGACCTTCTAAATGACACAGTATCTGGGGCTATTTTCTGTTACATGGAGGCATAACTAAAGATTTTACAATATGGATGGTTTAGGCACGTAACACAGGTTCTCATATAATAGTTCATGTCTCCCCAACAGTTCTCCTGTATTCTATAATGGTGTTTGGTTTACAGCACTGTTCTGGAGAATATATTATTGAAAAGCTAAATTTTGAACTTAATGCAGGTGACAGTTCCATCACTAGCTTCAGTCTACAATGAATATGCTTTGAAGAGCCAGTTTGAGACTAGCATTTACCTTCAGGTTGGTTTCTGGACTATATCGTGTGGATGCATTGTGGTTCATCTTGGTTTATTCCTTAGCCTCCAGACATTTGTGTGAATCACAAACTTAGTCCCACAGAAACTTCATGTTCTTTGGCTTTTGAAAGCTTTAATTACCATTTGTTATGCTTTTTTTTTTCAGAACCTTTTTCTGTATGGTTATGGTGCCATATTCAACTTCCTAGCGATCCTAATCACTGCCATTTTTAAAGGTATGGACTTATTCTATGCGTTTTTTGGGTGTTGTGAGCTTGTTTGTATATTGTTTGATGGAGAAAGTGAAGTTGATTTTGTATTCTCCTTCCTAGAAATCTTTATTTACCTTTAGTTGGCTGTTATTAATATCCAGTTTGCTTTTCCTACCTTCTTATACTAATTTTAGTTTATAATTCAATTGTTGGGTTGGTATTCATTCTTGCATCCACACATTATAAAGTAATATAAAAATGTCAAATATCATATGTAACTGTTACCAAGGACAAAGACGATGCATGCACTAACAGAATCACTTCAGTATCCAATTTTATGGTACTGGAATTATCCAAATTTTGAGGCATTCTAGTGTTGGAATTTTGACTATTGATTAAAGATTGTTTTCTTTTCAACATTGTGGACCATGACACACATTTATGATATAGTGGAGGTGCAGATAACATGCTCTGGTTTTAGAAATTATGCATCATTTCACCTCAAATTACTGAACTTAGAAAAATCGGAAGTTGATGATGACTACTACTGCATATAGCATATTATTCCTGAATAAACTTTCTACTTATAGATCATAGATGCGAATGATAATTTGATTTGTCACTCAAGTATCTGCATCTGTTTGCTTTTAGGCCCTGGTAGCTTGGATATCTTGCAAGGACACTCTAAGGATACCATGCTGTTGATATGCAACAATGCGGCACAAGGAATTTTGTCTTCTTTCTTCTTCAAATATGCAGGTGATTGAATTATGTTGATTTAGCTATTTAGCTTTTTATTTTTCATTTATATTATATTTAATGTTAAGTGCCATTTTATGGAGTTGTTTATGTTGTGAAGTTCTCTTGCAATTGTTACTTGTGATTTGTGCTTGTAACAAAACAAAAGCAAGTGTAAGTGATGCAAAAGAGGGAGTTAACTAAATTTCTGAGGGCTAAAGGATGGGAAGGCTTCAACTAATTTACCACCTTTGATTTGATGTTGAATACCTACTTTTTTCAGTTCTCTAAAACAAAAGACAGATGAACATTAATGTTATTGAACATGCCTTCTGAGATGCATTTCAGAGTTAATCATTTATATTTCCGCTGGTTTAATTCATTGTTTTGTGGTAGAAACTGGTGAGGTCACATTTTCATTCGTAGCATCCTTCTGTTCCTGCAGATACAATTTTGAAGAAGTACTCGTCAACCGTAGCCACAGTTTTTACAGGAATAGCATCTGCTGCACTTTTTGGTCATACCCTGACAATGAATTTTATCTTAGGAATCTCTATTGTGTTTATATCCATGCACCAGGTAATTATTATGTTTTTCCCATATCTCATATATTTGTTCAGTTTTTCTGAACCTTAACATAATTTCTATGATTTTCATTTATGTGTGTGAGAGAGAGAGAGCGAGGTTACTTAATTGCATGTAAATTGGCTTATATAATGTATTACCATACTTCCTCTTCAGTTCTTTTCGCCACTTTCAAAGGTCAAGGATGAATCACCGAAAGGTTGTCTGGAAATGATGGATGGTGAAAACAACCAGAGGTTGGTGCTTGCTCTCTTTGTTTGTATCCATTTACCATGAAGTTCTTGGCACAAATTATTCCATCGATGCCTCCTCATGAAAAAAAATATAGTATTGTTTTTGTATTTCTTAAAAAATTTCAGGTGGCATCTGGCTCCAGCACTAAAAAAATTCTACTCCTTCTATTATGTACTATCTGGCCAACTCCAGGAGGATTTAGATGAAATGTGAATCATCACTAGTTTTTCTAAATAGCATTTGGGATTCATGCCTTTGAGCTTGGCTTGATGGAACCTTGAGGCACAGATATCTTGCCTGTCAGGCTTGAAGTGCATTGCCGAAGTAATTCACTAGCTGACAAATACTGCTGTGGCTCTCTCTCTCTCTCTCTTTTTTCCCCACTTAGCAGTTAGAACAATATTCATGGGAAGAAATTAATAGAGCAACACATCACTAGTGAAAATTACTTTTCCTAAGTTAGCCTCTTCATCATAAAATCAATTGATGCCTTGCTTTTGGCGGACAGCTTATTTTGATTGCTAAGGTTAATAGATAGATATTTCACTCTTCGAAAGTTTTGACGGTGGACAAATAATTTTCAATTGACAAGAAAGTGAAAGACTGGTAAACTCTTTGTGACAGACTAGTGAATGTGCTTGCATTTCATAACACAGTTCACACAGACCAGATCCTGGACGTTATTCTCTTTCTCTTACTTGTATTTTTGGGCTAAATAATTATCTTTAGAAGTTCATCCACATTCAAGTCAAGTTCTTTAATTTCTTTTCTTGTAGAAAGGAAGTCTTCTTTAGCATCCTTGTCATGGATACAAAGCTTAAAGTTATTTTCTGCTCTTGCAATGATTGTTGATACTTGATACCATCACCGGGAGGAAAAAAAATGGTTTGTTAAAAAGGTGATTGATTGAAAATTTCTCTTTATCTTCCAGGTCAAAGGATGCATCCTTCATAAATATGACTGCCGGAGCAAATGAGGATGTAAGAGTCAATGGCTGTTGCAATTCTCTTTTTTTATTTTTTATTTATTTTTAAGAATTTTACCTATTCAAATGTCTTCTACAATGTCTTTTCTGGTATTCTCCAGGCTAGTCATCGAGTCGAACATGACGAGAAAGCGCCACTGCTTCCCATCTAAAGTTTACCAAAGGTATATGTCAGTTTTGACTTTTTATAAGTTGGCTCCATCTGATGGAGTCCTTACTGAAGTTGGCATAAAATAGATAACAATAAACTTCTGTTTTTTTTCTCCCTTCTTATATAGCATCAAACTTATTTTATGGCATATTTTTATGGAATCCCATGGCAGGGAGCAATCCGTTTTTACATTTCTGGGCAGGAAATATCCAAAACAGTTGAGAAGATCGCCAGTTCCAGTGACAGTAACACAATAGAATAAATGCCGCAAAAGAGATTCTTTATTTCATTTTGGGTTTGCTTCGTTGTCCATGGGAAGCCGCAGTATACCTTTGAGTAAGCCATCCACTAAACATCTTTGAAGCATCAATGACCTTTGAGAACCTGGTTTCTGCCGAAGGGCGAAAAGGCTAGAAATTTATACAGAGGTGTAGCAATTTTTTGTACTCACTCATGTATGCCATGCCTATCATTTCAATCCGACATCTCTTCATCCATATGATCTGCAACTCGTTTATGAATTTTGGTAAATGTCTCAAATTCCATAATGTCAAAATGTAGTATGGAAATTCTGGATCATCACTTGTTTAGAAACAGTAATTATCACTTCTTTTTTTTCTCTCATTAGTTGATGCCTTTTAAATTTATGTTGAAATGTCATATGTTAGCTTCCTTGGAAAAAGTAAGCACACCATTACTGGAGGTGCTGGGTTTGACTCTTAAGAGATAATTATGGTGTGTGATTGAGGAAAGTAGCACCAAGTGTGCATATCTTCATTTATTCAAAATGGCTTTGTCACAAGTACAAGTACATTAGAAATTATATATAATTTTATAAAATTGAATTGTACAAGTAGAAATTGAACTTATCCTTGAATCAACTTTACCGTTTGGGTTACTGGCAAATGCCATGAAATTTACTTTAAACGATAAGGAATAGTTCAACGCAAACCCCCTTAAATTGGGTGCACTATTTGTTAGACTGGTTGCCGTCTTCGCGTGTCAAAAGAAATAATTTGGTTGTCCCTTTTTATTTTTATTTTTTTGAAAATCAAACTTACATAATTAAGTTTACTAGTCCTCCACTTCAAAGAAAAAGAAGGGAAAAAAAAAAAAAAAAAAAAAGCCTCCTCCTGATTTTCTCCTTTTTTGGGCAATGGTGCGAGTGTGACAATGTTTCTGTCTTGAACCCAAACCTTCAAATCCATCTTTTTTACTAATACCAAACTAAAATTTTTATTTTATAACTAAAAATCATTTAATTCATCTCTATGTTCTTTTCATTTCAAAAAAAAAAAAAAAAAAAAAAGCAAAAAGCTCTCTCTCTGTATTTCTCCTTTTTTGGGCAATGGTGGAGTGTGACAATGTTCTGTCTTGATACCCAACACCTTCAAAAATCCATCTTTTTTACTAATAACCAATACTTATATTTTTATTATTACTAACTAAAATAATCATATTTAATCATTCTCTCTCTTTTCATTTCATTTTCCTTTCAAATAAAGTCTCTCTCTTTCTCTCTCCCTCACATTTCTATCCATTTTCGCCTTTTGTTTCCCTCTAATTTACAATCCCTACCCTCCGTCCCTCTCTCTCTCTTTCTAATTTCTAATTCACCTGGAACAATATGAACCATAATAATACTATATGATCATTTGATAGATTCCTGTTCTTCTATCTATCGATTCCATTCGGCTGTTAGGGTTTCAATATAATATATCGTTTTCCAATATGGAATCCGAGGATGAGTTCGATATGCAGGATGCCGCCGCTGATTCCGCTGATGACGATTTCTACAGCGGAGGAGACGATGCATTTGACAGCGATGACGCCGATGTTGCTGATTACGAGTTCATCGACAATGATTCGGATGATTCCGATGACCTCATCTCCCATCGCCACCAGGTTCCTTTTCTCCCATTAGATTCCCCTATTTTTCCTTTTTCACGTCTTTATGCTCGATTTTGCTTTTAGAAATTTTTTTAGCTTGATTTTTCCTAATCGAGCTAAAATTTCCTTTTATGGTTACAATATGTTACAAGTTTATACCTATTTTTTTATGATTGTCTGCCAAATTAATAACTTTTTCATGATTTATCATTTTGTTCCGCTTTTATCTGTTATTGTGTATTGATGTTGAGTAGGTTTAGGTCGATGATGATCAGTGTGTGTATATTTTTGTATAAATTTTCATTAGCTAAACTTTGTATGACGCGAACTAAGATTATTTTTCCATAGGACTTGTATAAAAAAGTTTCCACAATAATGCATAATTCTGATGGGAATCCAATCATTGCTCTATACCTTTTGTTGAAAATTCCACTAATAGCTTGTTAGGTTTCCCGATTGAGTTAGTTTGGTTCATGTTGAGAGAAATTTGAGCTTTTGTTTGGTCTGTTGCAAATTAGATTGGATTTGAAATTTGGTTTGGGAGTACGACCATTTGTTCTGACTCATTTTTTATTTTTTTAGCAAAACTACACTATTCTTAGTGAAGCAGATATCCATCAACGTCAAGAAGATGATATTATGAGGATATCTACTGTACTTTCCATTTCAAAGGTTTCAGCTAGCATTTTGCTCCGCTATTACAACTGGTAGGACAACACATACTGCATAGGCTTTGAAATCATGGGATGGAACATACAATTTGTCTTCCATAATACGTTGGTTCTGATGCATCATTTACATTTTCTATGAACCTGCAGGAGTGTCAGTAAAGTGCATGATGAATGGTTTGCAGATGAAGAAAAGGTTCGCAGGGCTGTTGGCTTATTGGAGAAACCAGTTGTTGAATTTCCAGATGGTAGAGAAGTAAGCAGTCAACATTAGTAGCAAAGCATTTTCTTCGAGATTTTGCATGAATATGGGGCTAGTTTTCAATTTAGTGCTCTCAGACCTTTTAAGCATTCTTCATCTGCTAATTAATTTGCAACGTGTTTCCATTTTTGACAGATGACATGTGGAATTTGTTTTGAAACCTATCCTTGTGATACGTTGCATGCTGCAGCTTGTGGTCATCCATTTTGTAATACGTGCTGGCAAGGTTTGTGTTATCTTAATAATGTGGGTGTCCTCGTCCGTGTTCTTTCTAAGGTCATGCTAAATATGCAAGTCATGTTTCCTCTTGGTTTCTAGTTCTGAATAGTAAGGAGCTATGTTCACACCATATACTAGTGTGTAGTGTTTAGGTTAAATTACCCATGAAGTCTGTGACTCTATACTTTCCTCTTTCCATCAATATTAGGAGTCTGAATGTGTTATACTTATCTAATTAGATTGGATAAATAAACGGATATGCTAATGATGAAAAGTTCATCCTCTTTACCATTCGGATATTTTCAATTGTCTGAATGATTAAGAACTTCTCATGGATCTTCTATTGTTTTATTTATTACTTATTCTATTTGAAACAGTATTTTAGAAGGGTCAGGCTACAATTGAATGGAAGTGTGTTACTACAGGGATAAAGTGTTGCCTATAGGGGTTTTAAGGTTTTGGGAGGATCATAGAAGTATGTAAGTTTTTGCCCTTAATGTGGTCTTGATCAATTCTCAATAGAATTTCTCTTGGGAAGTTAAATGGCACTGTGAGCAAATGAAAATCTTATAGAAACTTTGTTTCTTATGTCATATCCATAGCTGGTCTGCTATGTGCAGTAATTATAGTATTAGTGAACTTCTTGTGTGATTATAGTATGTTAGAAAAACTCTAATATTGAACATATTTTTCAGGACATAGATATTAGTATTTATTTACATTGGCCATATTCTCAGTTTTTCATATTACTGAAGCTGTATGTTTATCATCTTATATATTTGAGAATTTTTATCTTTTAATCTTTTCCTTTTCCTTTTACTTATTCATGCGTTTGGGTCTATTAATACATATTTTTTCAGGTCCTTATGTATCTGTTTTCCCTATGTAGGTTATATTAGCACATCTATTAATGATGGTCCTGGATGTTTGATGTTGCGATGTCCTGATCCATCTTGTAGTGCTGCTATTGGTAAAGATATGATAAATGAATTGGCTTCTGATGAAGACAAGGAAAAGTATTCCCGTTATTTCATTAGATCTTACATTGAGGACAACAGAAAGGTACTTTTTTTTTTGGCAATCTGAATGGACCATCCACCGTTTAAATTCAAAATGAACAAAAGTTTTTTACATTTTGAACTCTTCAGAAGTGCAAAATTGTTTTTGGAAATATTTCATTATGAATTTCTTTGTGAATGGAGCACCATCATGTGCTTTAAAATCCTATTTATTACTTACTCTATAAACTCCTTGTAAAAAAGGAGCTTTAACTTTTGAATGAATATTCACAGAACTCTACTGTTAGGGAAAATATAGATAAAAATATGCAAATCATATATTTTATTAGTGGGAGGTTGCTAAGTAAGCTTCCTTATTGTTGTGTGTAGTTTTCTAATCTTTAGTTAAGGTGTTTAAATGCCGTGGATGAGTGAAAGAATTAAGCTGAATTTTAAACAAAGTTTTGATTTTCTAAAAATCAGAGATCCTACAGTTCTCTTAAAGAAGATTGAAGAGATATTAGGGTTTCCTCATAATGAGCTTAATTCTACTTTTATGTTCAATCAAATAGACAATGTCTAGATCTGAATATACTTTTGTCAATGCTGTCTTTCTTTTAAGATAGGCTAAGTTTTAAGCTGATGGTACTAGTATTTTGGGTAGTTGAAACCAATTTCTATGTTTCCATTACATGTTGCCTTTCTTTTTATACCGTTTTCCTCTTCATGTTTAAGGCTTCCTATGTATTGGTCAACTGTAGGGTGTTCTGTAATAGTTAATAAATGTTGGAGTGATCATGAATTTATTGTTCACTCAATATATCATACGCTCACTTCTGCAACAATTTTTGTGCATATTATGGTTTTCCTATGCTAAGTTGAAAATGTTTTAGGATTGTAAATTTCCCTATTTAGTTTGCCTCAAATTTGTCTTAAACCAAACTTCATCAATTCTATGTATAGATGTTGGCAATGATGGCATTCCTAGTCCAGGATCGATAGAATTAGGTTGGGTTCATGTTGATCAATTTGACTAGCCCTTGGTCTTTTTCACGATATATGGTTAGGCGATTGTGCTTCTAGTGATTTATGATATTAATCTTTTCTTGATTGTTTTGTTTGTGTTATTCTGTAGACCAAATGGTGCCCTGCTCCAGGATGTGATTATGCTGTAGATTTTATTGTTGGCAGCGGAAGTTATGATGTTACTTGCCGCTGCTCATATAGCTTTTGTTGGAATGTGAGTGTCTTCGAATTAATTTGGAGCTGTAATCTCTTCATAGTTTTCTTAGACATATTGTTTTCATAAATAATTGTGAACTACATATGTCTAATTGTTCTTACTTTGTCTGGCACTTTTCGTATGAATGATCTTGCAGTGTACTGAAGAAGCTCACCGCCCTGTTGATTGTGGGACTGTGGCCAAGTGGATATTGAAGAATAGTGCCGAATCTGAAAATATGAACTGGTAAGGACCATGTGCTGAGATCTAGTTTTGGTCCCCTCTTAATTATGTCATTTTGGTAAATGGGAAAGGTTGAGGTGAGGTTATGTGAATTATTGAACAAGGGAATCTTCTTTCTGAGGACTGGGTGTTCTACACTATAATAAGTGTGTGTCTAAAGAGGATGGCCTCTCCTAATTTCCAGTGATTGGGTTACATTTTAATTGGCAACTCTTTCTTACAATTTTTTTTAGTTTACCTTTGGGCTTTTTCCCTAGTAAATGGGTGAAATGATTGTTGTTAGTGTTGTGGGTAAAGAAAAAATTCAGTTGAGTGATGGGATCTAACTGAACTATGTGGAATTTTCTTGGTTTTTCACAAATTATAGGTAGGCAAGATGAGTGTTGAACCATGTTTCAAATTTCTCCATATTTAATACAAATGATGTGTTCAATTTCAGGATACTGGCTAATTCCAAACCTTGTCCGAAGTGCAAGCGACCAATCGAGAAAAACCAAGGCTGTATGCATATTACATGCACACCACCTTGTAAATTTGAGTTTTGCTGGTAAGCACATGATTACTTTCCTCCCTCCCCAACACTCCAACCGCTGTCCCAACCAAAACAGGCATTCCAGTCTGCATTCTGTATTAATTTACTAAGGGACATAAACACGAGTTTTGGTGGTGCAGAATCATAATCATAAATTTCCTTCTGAATATTTGAACACTATGCATGGGAAAACTACAAGTATATTTTCCTGTTTATGTATTGCATCTGTTGGCTCTAGCAACCTATTCTTTTCCCCCTGTTGTGCATCTTTTCAGTGACAATGACTCTGCTCAAAGAAAGTTCTCCTTCATGAATGATGCTGATTTTCTTTTTCTAGAACTTTGTGCAGCTATTCTCTAATTTCATTCTTGAAACAAGATAAATTACAAAAAAAAAAAAATGTTCTACATTAATTCCCGGTAATCTGATTTTCTTTGGTTGTAGGCTTTGCCTTGGTGCATGGTCAGATCATGGGGAGAGGACTGGTGGGTTTTATGCATGTAACCGCTATGAGACTGCAAAGCAAGAGGGAGTGGTACATCATATGGTTCTATTTTTTTTTTCTTTTTTCTGATGAAGACTTCTACCCATGTCTTGCAATGCTTTTGTTTGGTGTTGCATAATTGTCTTTTGTTATAATTATTTCTTCTGCTTACATAGTATGACGAGGCTGAGAAGCGAAGAGAAATGGCCAAGAACTCTCTAGAAAGATATACTCATTATTATGAACGATGGGCCACCAACCAATCAGTAAGTGGCCATAATACTTTGCAGATACTTTGTGGAACATCTTTCATGTTAAATATTTGTATGATATTTTCAAATTTGATTCTGAGCATTTCCTTGCACTGCAGTCTAGGCAAAAGGCATTGACAGACCTACAGCAAATGCAAACTGTACATGTAAGTTGAGCTTCCGACTAGTAATTGTTTCTTAGTTATGCTACCATAGTTTTTTCTCAAGGTTCAATTGTTTTGTATTAATGAATGCAATATAAAAGATTGTTTCTTGCCTTTAACTCAAGTTGCAAAAGAATTGAGGCCCAAATCACCAATTGGGCTTGGCTCTTTCGAAGCTTGTCACAGCTCATTCATTGTAGAGAAAAGCGGAAAAAAGAAAGAAGTCTGACACTGACTTAATTCTGTTTACAAATAGCATAAATGGAAATATCATTCATTTGACTTCTTTGTATCCCATTTTGGTCACATGTTTGGAAATTGGTTGTCTATTTGATCCTGTACGGGATAATATTAAGCTGCAAGTTCCAGATGTCTAAAAAAAAATGAGAATAGGTGCTGGAGTGGGTGTACTGGGTAGTATGTATCTTCATTGCAGAATCCTCCTACCCACTTAACTCACTGGAAAGATAAAATCAGAGAACCTTCCAGCTGGTTTTAATGTACTTATTTTATGATGTGTCCAGTACACCAAAGATTATAGCTAAATATAGCCATAATTTATAATATTTTATCAAGGAAGTTGCGTGTAGCTCTAGGATAGGGCTCCTGGATTTGGTGGTTTGGCCCTTAAATTTGGGTGCTTTTGCTGGACTTGGTTCAGCTTATGAGTGGAGAGCAGTAAACTTCAGCTTCAGGAGTTCCCATTAAGCTCTGAGCTCAAATAACTAGATATTCTGGCTTCGCTCACTTGCATTCTTCACTAGTATATTATTGCACAATTTCCAGGAACGCAAGGTTCATGCAACTTGTTGTATGAGATCTTTTTATTGTTCTTAAGATGAGATTGATACTTGTTAAGAATCTTAACTTGTATTTTGTGTTTAATCTCAAAAATAACTAATGGATGCACGATGATTATCTAGTGCATATTTAAATATGTATGTTGTATAATGTTGGAAATTTGTGTTAATGGAGGGTGGCAAGCCTTAGATGAAACATTTGGATTCAAGTGAATACATGCTTTAATGGATGCTTCTCATTGGCTTGTAGTTTTTCTGGTAAGCATGTTCTGTTAAGAAAAATTTTACTTTCTTAAAGTGGGTCAAGTTATATCAATGAACTAGTTATAAAAATAACAAGTCCCAATTGAAATTGTTAGCCTGCAGCTTTAATTTTTTATATTCTCTGATATATTATGCTTAGTGATATCAGATTTTTTATTTGTTCAATATAGGTATAATTTTGTTTTGTAACTTACAGATTGATGGTCCTTTGTTTTTGTAGCTTGAGAAGCTGAGTGACATACAGTGTCAACCTGAGTCGCAGCTAAAGTTCATTACAGAGGCCTGGCTACAGGTAAATTCATATTACTGTCCGACTAGATTTTTACTGATCTTTTTTAAATACTTTTTTAATGTACACAAGTCCATTGATCGTTTGTTGCTTTTCTCTTCATCTTTGCTCTGTTCGCAGATCGTTGAATGCAGGCGAGTTTTGAAATGGACTTACGCCTATGGATATTATTTACCTGAGCATGAGCATGCCAAGAGACAGTTCTTTGAGTATTTGCAAGGTAAGTTGTCTCTTCATTTTGGAGCAAATCTTTTATCCTTGTTTAGTGTTCTGATCACAGAAAATGTTACACAGGTGAGGCCGAGTCTGGGTTAGAACGACTTCATCAATGTGCTGAGAAGGAGCTCCAAGTTTATCTAAATTCAGAGGGCCCTTCAAAGGATTTTAATGAATTCCGCACCAAACTTGCTGGACTCACCAGGTGATTCTGAGATTGTTGCTAAAAAGCTCTCTTCTATTTGCATAATGTTTTGCTTGGATGGGGGTTGTTGGGGTTATAAGATAAGGTTAAGTTATTGGGTTGTTTCGGAAGAGGGTTGAAGGACTGGGAGGTTCTTATGGTTATCTCTTTCTACTTCTTCTTCTCACTTTGATTTTTTTTAAATATCTCCCTTGGATGAACCACAACAGTGTGACCCGGAACTACTTTGAGAATTTAGTTCGAGCTTTGGAGAATGGTCTATCAGATGTGGACTCTCACGGTGCCTGCAGTAGGACAGCAAGCTCAAAGAGCTTGGGAGGGGGAAGCAGCAGGGGAAAAGGTGGAAGAGGCAAGGGCTCCACATCCAGATCAAGTGGTCCTAGCAGAAATATTGATGATTCTGGGCACTGGTCTTGCGAGCATTGCACCTTTGCTAATATCAGATCGGCCACCATTTGTGCAATGTGCCAGCATCGTCGATAAATCTCATCCGTTACTCAGATTTGCCACCTGGATTGAAGTTACCAGTTTTGCCTCCTTGGCTGTCCAGTTTTATTGGGAAGAGATCTTTATCGCCTTGCTGGGGAGGGAAAGAATAAAGTTCTGACTGGTCTCACAGCTTTAAGATCTGAACTGCAGTGACGGATAATGGAAATAGGAAGGGTGGGGAGGGGGGAGTAAAAGCTTCACCTCAAAGATTGTTTCTGGAATCAATCAGCTGTAAATAGTTCCTGCCATTTACGGCCATCTTAACTTGTATTGCCATCAGGCACACCAGGATCCATGCAAATGTATCCATCTGTAATCTTCATGGTAATTTATTTATGTTGTTACTAATAGAGTTATAGTAGACTTGAAAGCTTTCAAGTAATTTGTAGTAGTGATAACCACTTGGGGTCGATTGGCTGTAGCTGTATTGGCCCCAACTAGAATGAAATAAATATGTTGTACCATTTTATTATGCTTGATATATGTGTGTACTTGGTGAGTTGCTTTTAGCGTTGAAGACGAGAGCAGTTGATGACGGTTATAGATAAACCATCAAAATTTAAGTTAGATATGCATCTAAAGCTACCTCCAATAAGCTGAGGACATATCAAAATACAACAATCTTTAATGGGACGAGATAATTGAAAGTCGGTGTTTTTAAATGTCTGCGTGCAGCAACTTATAGAATTAGAGTTTACAAAATTACAAACTGAAATCGGTGGCTCACTTTGACTATACCGCATAGTCAATTCTGTTCCACTTATTCTTATTTCATGTAATCTTTTGTTCTACTTAATCCCTATTTCATGGCCACAATGTTGAGAAAGAAGACTTTTCTCGACAAGTTTAATTTATACTTGGCTCCCGTTCATTTAAAAAAAAAAAGCTAATTCTATGATAAATAAAAGAAAGCGAAAGAGAGAAATTGATTGGAAAAGAAAAAACAACAAAAAAAGGAGAAGATTTATTTGTCAATACACGTAAGAAATTAGCGACGTCTATCTACACTAGGAAAGATCCAGCCTGCAAGGTGTTGCTCCTCTTCCTCCGTGTGAACATTGGTAAATGCTCGACTTGGTTCCTTTTCCTCTTCTTACTCCACACAGCTATATGCTTCATCGGTTCTGCCTCAGCCTCATTATAGATAAATATTTCACGTGCTTCCTCTTCCTCCTCATCACACCACAGGATTAAGCCTGAGCCTTACCAGAGCCAAACGTCTTGCTTGGTTCTTCTCCTTCATATTTTGAAGTGGACCGAGTTGGATCACAAGACATTGCTGCATTGTACTCTTTCCTCTCCATTGTATAGCAGTCGAACCCCGCACTTGTTAACCTTGGAAGAAGCCATAGACTTGTTATTATAGTCTTCCATCAAGAATTCAAGCAATAATTCACTATAGCTGCACATGTCCTCTCCTTTCTCCTTAATTTTAAAACTGAAGTCACTGTTATAGTATACCAATGTCTGTTCCAACTCTGGTATTACATTCCTATCCCAATTGCAGAAACTTGCAGACAAGTGATAGCTTTTGCGCAACTGGATTTGAATTTGCATTCCATTCTCATCCGCCTTCCTTCAGCATGAATGATTTTCCCATATTCGAAAACAGCACAAAATGTGAAATCCAACAAGTTCTTATACCAATTTGGAGGCAATGAAATGGTACTCGAGAAACCTATGCTTTGATGTTGAACCCACTTTGGAATCTTATTTCCTGGAAGAATAACTGTAAGTTGCTTATCCTGAAATTCCTTACTTTTTTCTTCTACTTCTTGCATACAATACTATAGAAGTAAAAATGTGTGTGTGTGTGTGTGTGTGTGTGTGTGTGAGAGAGAGAGAGAGAGAGAGAGAGAGCACCTTGAGTTCGAGAATTGCATGTGCCAAATGTAGTATCCTGTGCTGTGCATGTACCAAAATGTTTCTGCATTCATTCTCATCCAAACTCAGGCAATTCATGAAAAAAAACCTACTTCAACCTTCTGTTAGTGATCTTATTGAATTTGAAGCTGTTTGGAGCGGTACACAACCGGTTGCATCGAGACGATGTAAGCATGGTGGAAATTCTGGCAATGATCTTTGCTTTCTGCAGAAGCTTAAGTTGAGCTCTCGAAGCCATGAAATTTGCTTGATGCTTGAAGGTATGCTCTCAAAATCGTTTCCCATTAGATTTAACCGACATAATTAAGATAAGTGAGGAAGATAGTTTACATGTTCCCATAGATTGATGCATGGTACAGCTATGGCAAGAAAGTAAAGATGCTTCATTTTGAAAACAACATTTGGAAGACTCTTAAGCCTTCTGCAGTCGCGCAAACTGAGGGATCTAACCTTACAAAGCAATCCAATGGATGAGGGTATTTCTTCTATTGCAGTACCCTTTAAACTTAAAAATTCTATTCTTGTTGGAACTTCAGGAAACTTGTTGATTTTTGAACAATTGTAGAGGTCAAGATGCTCCAAAGATCTCAAAAATTTGATGTTTGGAACATGTTTGATTTTTCTACAATTTGCCAGATTCAAGTATGAAGGTTCTTGAGACATCCAATAGATGGAGAAACCTCCACCAAATTCATGCAGCCTCCACAATCTATGCTCTCAAGAATCTGAAGTCCTGAGAAGTCTGGCATTTCAATCAAGTCTTTACAGTAACAGAGTTTGATCATTTTTAAACTTGGAAGTTCCTGTTATTCAAAAAGGAAAAAAAGAAGCACGTACGATGGTTAGGATTAGAAAATTAGCATTTCTGAACCTCCAATTTTTGCCAAAAGGAAATACTACAAGTTTACCTGCATTCCCTCCCAAAGTCTTTCAATACGACTACCACACATGTTAAGCTCAACAAGCATCTCAACATGAAACTTTGATGGCAAATTTTTCAGGGGACAGAAGTCCCATCGAAGAAACCTTAGTTCATCAGGAAAAGATACAAGGCCTTCAGGGAAGTGCACATCATTAGCAGGAAACTCAATGTTTCGAATATACAATTCATCATCTACACTGCTACCAGAATTATAGACTTTGAGCAATTTAATTCTATTCATATTGCAAAAAACTGTGGGAGCAATGCATTAGCGGTTTTTAGCACTATGTCAACAGCTTCAGTCCCCTAGCCAAATCAAAACAACAAATTAGCATTCAAACTTTAGAATGACTATGTCCTAATCTATCTCCTTTCCCCTCTACATAAAACATTGACATTAAAATGGAAATTCAAATCATATCACTTACATTATTTTTGGTTAACACATGGTAGATATCTTCATGATTCCACAATCTACTATGTTTTCCTGGCTCTTTAATGCATTCTCGGCAAACAATTTCCCTACCCATTTCTTGCAACAAATCATGTGTCAATAACAGCTGTATAGTGAGTCAATATCAGCTGTAATTATTGTATATATCTTTACTAATTTGCTATAATTCTGGTATTTAATAGCTGTAATCTGGGGATTTATTGGGGATGTAAATATCTCCTAATCTATCTCCTTTTCCCTCTAAACATAAAACCATTGACATTTAAAATGGAAATTTTCAAATCATCATCACTTACATTATTTTTGGTTAACACATGGTTAGATATCTTCATGACTTGCCACAATCTACTATGTTTTCCTGGCTCTTAATGCCATTCTTCGGCAAACAATTCATCACCCTACCCATTTCTGGCTAACAAATCATGTGTCAATAACAGCCTGTATAGTGAGTCAACATCAAGCTGTAATTATTGTAAATATATCTTACTAATTTGCTTATAATTCTGGTACTTAATAGCTGTAATCTGGGCGATTTATGGGATGTAAATATGGGATGTGATTGTGCTTAAATTTAGGGAATATTGTAAGGCTATCTCTTGTATTAAAATGTATATCGATACAGAAGCATGAAGAGATACAGAATTTTCTCCAAATTCTTTGTCTGTGTTATGGTATCAGAGCCTTACGACGATAACCTCCTTGTGTTTCTTGTCTGAGATAGTTCTCATCTTGTGTTGTTTTTTTTTCCCCTTTCCATATCATCTTGGGTTTTCTAATCATTTTGGAAAAATCTAGACGTTGTTGCTTGCACCCAAATTCACAGGCAAGAAATTACTTTGCTTTGGGAATTTCCAATTTCAAGATTTATCCAGGAAAAGACTTATGGGACTTTGTTGAGGTTCGAACTAGAAGCCGACGGATTCAACTAAAATAGCTGAAATGGGAAACAAAAGATGCTCGTCGATGAAAAGCTAGTTGTTGCAAACAATGGATCCTTCCATTGCTGCCAAACCTCAGACCATTCAAACACAGTGAAAAGCGATGTTGGGAGTATCTAAAAAAAAGTGTATGCTCAAGAATAATTCAGCTAGGCGTTTCAACTGGTCTATGCGGGCCACAGCAAAAGAATGTGCTCCACTTACACGGCAGGGGAAAATTAAATTTGTCAATCCAGGAATATTATTCGGGTTTTGTTGCTTTGTGGACTGAATATACTGAGATTTTATATGCTTCTATTCCTGAAGCATCTTTGGAGACAGTCATAAACCTTCATCAAACTAGTTAAAGAGATCAAAGAGATCGTTTTTTGATGAATCTCAGATCTGAATTTGAGATTGTCAGATCCAATTTGTTGGCTAGGACTAACATTCCATCTTTGGATGATTGTTTGAGTGAATTGCTTAGGGAGGAACAACGTCAAAAGACGCAGCATGCCTTAGAACAGCAAGGCAGCTTATCCAATGTTCTCAATGTTGCGTATGCAGCACAAACCAAAACTCGGAACCTGGCTGGAGTCCAATGTTACAGCTGCAAAGGATTTGGTCATATTGCAAGTCAATGTTCCAAAAATTTTGCAACTATTGCAAAACTAAGGGACATATTATTTCAGAGTGTAGAAAGAGCATTCCCCAGGAATCGTACATCTCAGGCTTTGCTGCTTCAAACAAACCAATCAATTTGGCGGCATCAACATCGAATAATTGCTTCTCAACAAGCTGTTTCTGTAACTTACTCAAGACAGTTCAACAAATAGTCATTTCAGCTCTTTCTGCACTTGAATTTACGGGTAAAAAACAAATCCCTCTCTAAAATCTGGCCTTTGTGAATTCAGCTGCATCAAATCACATTGACTCCCATCACTTGACAATCTGTCTGTAACATTAAAAAATATGATTGGGCACTTGAAAAATCGAGACTGCTAGTGGGAATCATGTTCCCATTATGGGCTCACTGGCGAGATTTCTTTCCTTCTCCTTTCTGAAGAATTGTTTTTTATTGCTCCTAAAATCCACTACAAATTTATTATCTGTTGGTACATAAATAGTGGAGAATAATTTGTGAAGTCATTTTTTCTCCCCTCTGGTTGTGTTGTGCAGGAGGTAATGGCGGGGGGGGGGGAAACGGTGGCGCAAAGGACCTAAATGGGGCAGATTTGTTTCCTCTTAATATCCCTGAACCGACCAAGCTTTCAAAAGTGTGTACTTCTTTTTCTAACTTACTTCAGTCAAGATTGAATATCCCAATATGGCATACGAAGTTGGGGTCATCTAATGATAAGGGACTATTTCTCTTTTGTTATAATCTGGTGGGTGTTGGCGAACTAAAACCTTGTCTAAAAATATTGATTTAATTTCTAGTTGCAAAATGGGGTAAAAGCAAAACCTTACCTTTTCCATCTCAGCTACTCATAAAAATGAATTCTTTTGATTTTAATCCATAGTTGATGTTTGGGGAATTTCACCTGTTATTTCTCATTAATCATTACAAAATATTTTTGTAAACCTTACATTGATGATTACAGTCGCTTCACTTGGATCTATTCTTTTACGACAAAATCAGAGGTCTTTGATAGTTTCCAAAATTTTTAGCCTTAAATCGAAAATCAGTTATTCTAAGACTATCAAAATCTTGCGTTCTGATTCGGGGGGAATACATGTCCACAAAAATTTCCAAAGTTTCCTTCAATCAAAAGGGATTCTATCTCAACGAAGTTGTCCATATTACCCCTCAGCCAAAATGTGTGCTGAGCGAAAAAATCGCCATTTACTTGATGGGTTCGAACTTTGCTCATGTGAATCATCTTGTTCCCACCACCAAAATTTTGGTTGAACCTATCCACTGCCGTACATTCTCATAAAATCGGACTTTCCCTCACAACTTCTCAATAATCAAAAAACACCATATTTTTGCTTCATAAAACCATAACCAAATTATAAACATTTACATCCTTTATGGATGTGTATGTTTTGTCCTTCTACCACCTCGACGAACGAACCAAGGCTTTCCCCACAATAATAAATGTGTCTTTCTTGGGCTACGCACCAAATCAAAAGGGTTTTTCACGTGTTTTGATCCAACCACCCAACGGATTCGTAATTTTCATAATTTCATTTTTTTCGATTACCAAAAAATTTTACTCTTCCTTTGAAGGCTCATCCAATACCTCTTCTTATACACTGCTTCCCATCTTTTTCAAGACAACTTACAATGAAGACAACTTCAATGACTCACCTTCCAACTCTTCTCTTCCAATAACCCGATTTCATCCTGGGATTGTGTATACTAGAAGACCTGTACTAGAAGACCTGTTCATAGACAAATTCAACAACAATCTGATACTCCATCAACAGTAATGGCACTTGAAGCTTCGCCTGGGTCCCCTCTGCCACCTGAGCTCGACATTGCACCTCCACCACTTAGAAGATCTGCTCAAACCATCAGAGCCCCAGACAGGTACGGTTTCTCTCCAGAAAGAAAAAATGAATCTCATACATCCATGGTTGCTACTTTGTCTTCTATTGCCATACCAAAGTCATATTCAGAAGCAATTAAATCTGATTGTTGGAAGAAAGCTATTCAAGATGAATTGGATGCTCTGGCAGAGAATCAGACTTGGCAACTTAAACCGTGTCCACCAGAAATCACTCCCATTGGTTCCAAATGGGTTTTTACTGTCAAATTGAAAGCAGATGGTTCTTTTGAACGTTGTAAAGCTCATCTGGTAGCGCTAGGAAATCGCCAGGAATATGGGATTGACTATGACGAAACATTTGCTCCGGTCGCGAAAATGACTACAGTTCGTACAATTTGGCTATTGCAGCTTCTCAAGACTGGCTTATACATCAAAATGGATGTTAAGAATGCCTTTAAGAATGCCTTTCTTCACGGGGATCTTAAAGAAAATGTTTTTATGCGTCCGCCACAGGGATTGCAAACTGGTCCAAATGAGGTATGTCAACTGCAACGTTCTCTGTATGGGTTGAAACAAGCCCCTCGTGCCTGGTTTGCAAAATTTCTTCAAACTTTGCTTGATCTCGCCTTCCAACAGAGTCAATATGATCCTTCTTTATTTTTCCAAAAGACAACTCAAGGCATAGTTATGTTACTTGTATATGTGGATGATGTTTTAATCTGGATGATGTTTTAATCACTGGTAGTGATACTGTTTGCATTCAACAATTGAAATCATCTTTAACTGCTTCATTTGCTTCATTTCACATGAAAGATCTAGGGTCTCTTACTTATTTCCTAGGATTAGAAGTTCACAGAAGCACCAAGGGAATCTTTGTAAATCAACACAAGTACATTCACGAACTAATTCACTTGGCTGGGTTAACAAACACAAAACCAGTGGATACTCCTATGGAAGTTAATGTCAAATTTCGTAAAGAGGAGGGTGAACTTCTACAGGATCCTACATTATATCGGCGCCTTGTTGGAAGTCTTATCTACTTGACAATAACAAGATCGGATATCTCTTTTGCTGTTAATTTGATGAGTCAATTCATGGCATCTCCACGCCACTTACATATGGTTGCTGTGAAATTGTGAAACGCATAATTCGCGTACTTGTATGGAACTCTCTATCATCGTGGTCTATTTTTTCCAGCTAACTCTCCTTACTCTTGCTGCTTTATAGTGACTCTGATTGGGCGGGGTTGCCCGGATACTCGTCGGTCTACAACCGGGTCGGTGTGTATATTTAGTGTGAAGCTTCTAATTTCTGGAAATGCAAGAAACAAGACAGAGTCTCCAAGTCTTCACTGAAGCGCGAATACTAGGCAAATGTTCTGCAAAACGATGCTCAGAAATTATATGGGTTGCCGTGGTTTTTATCTGAATTGGGTTACACTCAAGCTGCGGGTCAACTCCTCTTCATCGGATAATACTAGTGCCATCCAGATTGTCGCTTACATCCAGTCTACCATGAGCGCACCCAAACACATTGAAATAGACTGTCATTCAATCCGAGAATGTTGTTGATAATAATTTAATCACCTCCATATATTTTCTACAACACAGCAGATCGCCGATAATCCTGACCAAGCCCTCACTGCCTAGCTCGACATCAATTTTTCGCGTTAAACAAAAATTGATGCTGCTTGATTCACCAGCATCAATTTGAGGGGGTGTCCAATAAACAGCTGTATAGTGAGTCCAATATCAAGCTGTAAATTATTGTATATATCTTAACTAATTTGCTATAATTCTGGTATTTTAATACTTGTTTTTATAAAATTTTTTTTTTCTTGGGGAGGGATTTATTGGGGATGTAAATATATTTATTGGGGATGTAAATATGGGATGTGATGTGCTTAAATTTAGGAATATTGTAGGCTATCTCTTGTATAAATGTATATGATACAGAAGCATGAAGAGATACAGAATTTTCTCCAAATTCTTTTGTCTTGTTATCATGCATTTGCACTATGTCATCTGTTATACTAATCAATGATTCGTCATTGAATGTAATTAAGTTAAATAGGGTAGAGAAACCACATGCATCTAGTAATCATTCCACATGAAATATTTGTTCTCCATTGAAGAAACAAGCAACGTGAAGAAATATTTCCTGCTCCTCAAAATCAAGCCCATCAAAACTTATTCTCAACACATTTTGTATTTTCATATTAGGAGTCCTTTCAAGTTTCTCCAAAGCACTAATCCATTCTATTTTGCTCTCGCCATGTAGAAATGAACCCAAAATTTTAAGAGCCAAAGGGTTTCCTGCAGCATAATTTACAGCTTTGTTTGCAAGTTTTACATAGTCTCCATCAGGATGGTTTTGTTTAAATGCGAAAATATGAAAAAGCTGTTGAGCTTCATGTTCCAATTAGTGGTTGAACTTCATATATACCATGAACTGTGTCTTGAAAGACACTTTTGTCTCTACTTGTTATAATGATTCTACTTCCTGCACCAAACCAATCCTGCTCTCTTGCTAAAAATTCTATTTGTTTGTAATCATCTAAATCATCAAGAACAATCAAAAACTTTTTAAAACGAAGTTGTTTAATTGTGAACATCAATGTTGACTTGGTAAACCTTCATTTAATATTCTCACAAGAAGCTCATCTCGCAATTGAGCTAGATTGCAATCACGAAAATTTTCAAGCAAGTAGCTGCCCTCACATTGAGAAGAAAATTTATCATATATGGCCTTAGCAATAGTTGTTTTACCAATACCTCCCATTCCCCATATTCCAATCACCCGAACATCATTTAAGCCAATGCATAATAATGATTCAAGCTCCATAGTTCTTATTTGCATCCCAACCAAATTCTCGAAATTATATGAACATGGATGTCTTAAATTTTTCAAAACTTCCTTGATAACATCTTCAATAAGTTCAGACTCAAGCCTATTGCAGTTAGGAAAGTAAAAACAGCAACTAGGGAAGCTGAATAAGTAAAACTAAACCAAAAAAAGAAAAAAAGATCACAACAAAGAACTATAAATTAACTATCAGGTATAATGAGAATGAAAAATGTTACCTGGTCTCAGACAAAACCTCCCCTGATATTTTGGCTGCTCTGCTTAATGCAATTTTCCACTTTTTCAGCTTGTCTAAGTTCTCCTTGAAATCTTTCTCGTGCTTAGCTAATGCTTCTCCAAAACTTCCAGTTTGGTTATCTACCTCTGTTGGGTCTACATAGTGAGAAATAGGAATTTGCTTTTGTCTTCTTGTGTCCTTGCATTCAAGGATCTTGACCAGTTCATCCAAGCAACATGAGGAAAAAGCATAATTTTTTGACAAGATAATCACTGAAATCTTTGAGTCTTCAATTGCTTTCAAGATTCCGGGTGTTGGGATTATGATCCCACAACACCGGGTTCAATCTCTTCTCCTCTTTCTAGTCTGTTGTCTATGAAGGTCACGATTCCTTGTCGACATAGAGCAGCATGGAGATGACTAGTAAAGGTATTATGAGTATCTGCACCTCTAAAACTAAGGAATACTTCATGCTTTAATGGCCAACACAAGAAGAAGAATAAGAAGACACGAGTTTAGTAAGATATATGCAGTAACTATCGAGAGAAGAATTCCTCCAAGTTTCGACGAGAGAAAAAACAAGAGTAGCTAGATTCCTTTTCTGCCCATTATTTCTTGTCACAGGAACTTTTATGGAAGTCAACAGTCTTCAGCATTATATTATAGTCATAATATGACCATATAGTTCAATAATGCATCCAGGCAACTTAGTATTTTCCTTTTGCTTTCCATGATTCGATGAACACTAATTTACCATCCAATCCATATGGTTACTACTTTACGATCAATTAGTTAGTTAACAGTGGATTTTAATTCCAAAGATTGGGGTCAGCGGTGACGTCATTAGTTAGTTAGTTAATTGGTTAATTAGTTAACTGGTCTTGATGCAGGGTCCACAAAAACAACATAGATTTTCTCCAAGCAAGTGTCAAATGGCACGTCATCAAGTTTGAAACTTGTGGGCATTTTCTTTTTGTTTGTGTTTTGGGAGATCTATACTGTATAGACTTCAGGTTCAGGAGGAATGCACCTGAAGAAATTAAGTTTGCATTCAAAAGGAAGACTGGCTGAAAGTAATGTGAGAAAAACTGACATGTGACGTAATGAACTCTGTAACTTAGATCAAGTAAATTTCATAAACCATAAACAGCAATTTAACAACTTGAATTTCCAACAGATAGTAATGCAGAAGAGTTCAGAAAGGTAAAGACAGCTAGATAGTGTAACTGCCATGCATCCATCTCAACAGTGCATTGTCTCATTGTTAGCGGCCTGCGATTTGAGCACACGTCCCATTGTATCTAAACCTACATCTGCTACAAGTAACCCACCACATTAATAAGAACTTGAACTTTATTTGTTAAAATTTCCCCTAGAATCGGTTTTTAAGTTCAGCCAAGTAACAATCTGGTTGGAGAAGTGGTTCTCGTACTTGAATTCATTTCACCATGCACAGCTCATAGCAGCAAAATTTCGCTGTTTGCATTTGGAACTAGTTTTGTGTCCGATATCATTGACCTTCTTCCATATTCCAGAGGATCTAAAACTTAGCTTTCCAGAATCATATAAATAAAGTTTGATGGTATCGAGCTACGCTTATATTCTGCAGCACTTGTTAAATCCTCATGGTTCGATAAGCAGTGTAAGCCAACAGCACCGGAATTGCAAGGCCATACGCCGGAAAATGGAACAATGGATTCATCTCATAAGCTTTCATAAGAGCTCTGCAATTCTGTGAGAAAGGCAATAAAATCAGAACAGAGAAGAATCTAATTCCAACAAATACAAATCAATGAACCCCACAAACATGGACTTGTGGTGAAGTCCATTTGTTGAATTCAAATAATAGCGATTGAATGATTCAACACATAAATTCGTTTCCCATATAATCATAAATATCGGACAGCAATCACTTAGATGTTCAGGAATAGAACAATAAGGTCATTCCCGGAAAGTCGGTGAGATTACTTGATTAACAGAAGCATCATGTTTCGTACCATATTTTCAGTTCTCAATGCAGTGTGTCAGAATCATACAACCAAGTTAGTTTCAAACTCAAGAATCCATGACTTTCTTCTACTCATGACCTGAAATCTACAGATATAAGATGGCCTTTCTTTCTTTTACTTAAAACTTTCTTCTCACTTACCATCAAACTAATCTACACTACAAGTTATGTATAAATCGAATTCCAGTTTCATTCATCTTGTTATCTTGCCATTCAAGACTTTGCAATCCTAGTTCCCACACATCAAATGGCTAACCTATAAATTAAAATACACATAATCTAAGAATGATGCTACACCCTCTTTGTCCAGAAATCTCAAGTTAAGGTCACTTGGCAATAGGAGAGTGGGCTAATATATCTCCTTTCATCTTATTTTCATATTGATGTGGAAAGCACATTGGGCAGGAGTGTTAACATCGTTGCCAACAAAAGCAAGCTTTGGTAATTAACTCCTCATCAAATCATGATGGTAACCCTCCCTCTCCCCCAACCACACACACAGAAAAAAAAAACATAATGACAATAATTTGATAAGATATGATGTATATACTCCACATAGCTTTAATTTTCATATTATGTGGGATAGGAATTGAAGATTACCATAAAATGCTTCCAACAGATTGCCAGGCAAATCACCAAGAGAAATTTTCGAATCCACCTCCGACCAAAATAAATTTTTGGTTGTCTACCTCCTCGATTATCATTCAGTTGAGATTTCTTGTTCTTCCAACTGGAATCATCATCTTCTTTCTTCCTTGAAAGAGAAAGAAAATGTTCCTTGTGCATACCTCTTTCAGCAGCCAATGCCCCAGCAACAAAAATTGCAGGCAAAACCACAAACAAGAGATGGGGAAGGACGACAACCATTATATCTGGAAACCCAATATATTCATGTCTTTTGCTGTTGTTGGGTGATCTCACCACCCATCCCATGTAGGTCATATACCCTCTATCCCCACCATCAGTGAAAACTTGCCCAATAAACCAGGGACATGACAAAAGGTAGATTAGGTATCCTAAAGTACCAAACCATACTATAGGAAGCCAGCAGAGTTCCTGTAAAACCCATATAATACCATTTAAGAAGCCTTTTCCGACAATAAAAGACTTGTAGGAGTATTGCTTTCTTGAGAATATGAGAAGAACTTTTGGAATAAGCAGAATTAAGAAGATTAAATATACAGTAGACCAAAATATTGGGTAATACAAGGCAGCCCATTGACAACCCATAACAAAAAATTCCTTCCACGTCCATGAGACCTCAGCATATAGTCCATTTACTGAAAATGGCCTCAGTTCAGTTAAAGTTGATCTTCCCATTATGTCAATTGCTTCTATTTGCAGCCAAAATCTATCAGGAGATGGATCCTCAAAGGCTCTATAATTCCAAGGAGCCGCATAAAAGTCCCCCCCGGACATATCCCCCTCAATTTTTGTCATGGATGTTTCCAAGACCAAGTTCAGAGTTCCAGGAATTGCATCGTAGATCCTAGCAACAACAGACACAATTGGAAAAACAGAAAACACAAGAACTCTGACTGTCTCATATGATGAAGGGACCATATGCTGACATTCATACTTTTGATGCCATGAAGATGCTGACATGAAGCGAGAGTCTAGTGGAAATGTGGGCAACACAATTGTTTTTTTGGCTCCTGACTTAAAATCAATGTCCAAATATGAAACATGACCTCTATCAATAGCCATAATCCGCATGGCTCGACTCTTCCGCCAGTCACCCATCTCCCATTCCCAGAACTCCTCAGGTGGTAGAGCTCCAAATGAACAATTTTTATAACTTCCGAAAGGTATTTGGTGCATATTAAACTGGAAAAGATTCTGTGAGGACAAAAAATTTTGAATTGACTGGTGGTGCCGCTTTAAATTCTTACCAAACCTAGTATGAAGATGCCCACACAGATACACTGATAGTGACTGATTAAGAAAAATATCTTTGAGGCTCTTACCAGAATGTGAGGATCCTGAAAATGAAAGTGGAAAATGCCCAAAGGATATCTTAGTTACGGGCTTATTCTGAAGATCCCATTGTGATAGTTGAGAATCTATTTGAGTTAATATTTGATCAGTAGGATGCCCGAAAAGGTTAGTTGGGCCCCGCAAACCAACAGACATTGTAGTATCCAATCCAACAAATAGATGCTTGCGCTTGCCAGTCTGGAAGATAGTAGAACAAGCAACAAAAATAAGAAAGAGTAAAGAAAGCTTTATGTTATCATTGAACAAAAGGACCTTAAAATAACGAGCAGAAGAGTATTGAGATCATCAAAATGACAGGCATGTTACAAAGTCTGGAAGCAAATGAAGTAAACAATTACCAAGCTGAAACTGAAAATTTGGTTAGTAAAATAAAATAAAATAAAATAAAACGACATCATTAGTGAAAGTGATTGTTTATAAATAGAAACAGTGACTGACCTCAACAGTTACACTATTGACATTTCCACTTCTTCCCAGTTGCCCATTAATGCTATATTTTGAAAAGAAATCAAATGAACCACCAGCAACAGGTACTCCAAAATTATCATGATTTCCTCTGAGATCATAGAAGATGTTCTTGTCAAGTCCGCTTCTTTTCACAACATCTTGCATTACATTCTGATATTCTAGCCACTCATCTTCATTTTGTTTCATTATTAACAAGTCCTCGCTTTTTCCATCTGGTAAAGAGAAGAACAATGTATTTTGAGCAGGTCCATCCAGTGATCACTATGATTGGTAAAGACAGTTCACAAGTGAGAACATCATAAATTAATCAAAAGAAATATATATTTATGTGCCTTTATTAAAGATATCTTGTAAGCCATATGCATCAATCTGAAATTGTTGCCTGTTTTTTGCCCCCTGAATCCTTGATAAAATTTCCATCAATTCTTGTACAAAGATTTCCAGATGACTGGCAATTCTTGTACAATGATTTCCAGATGACTGGCGCAGTTCCAGAGGTTAAATGTAAAAGGATATATGGCAACAGTAGTTTTCTGTATCCTAACCAAATCGAGCAATTTTACATTATTTACACCAGAAACGACGTCCCCAGATATGTACTTGCAAGAAATAATGAACGGAGATAAAGGTTTCATACTAACAGCGAGAATTTATTAAGTTCACTCGATGATCATTTGCATTGTAATGTCTTTGAAAGTGCATTGATATATCGAATTTTTCCCATTTCCTTTTACTTCTCAATTAACAACCGATTACTGATTTCTTGATCAATGGCAAATTCCCAGTATCCAACCAGGATATCCAAAAATAATACCACAATTTCTTTGCTCATATTCTTAGATGAACTCCCAACATGCAGCAAAGTGACTCAACGTGAAATTACTAAACACATACACATACAAACCAAAGAAAGAAAAACTACAATCATACCAGTGAGATCACCAGTGATGAGGACAAGACAAGGGTTGATCATTTGAAGAGCAGGACCAACGAATTTCTTGAAGTCAAGAGCTCTATCAGGGTGGTGGACACTGAAATGGAGATCAGAGAGCTGCACCACCCATATTACTGATTCTGGACCTCCTTTCACTTCTATCACCTTGCTTTCCCATTGTTTGGGTTGTGAGGAAACCAATTGCTCAGCTTCTTCCTGTTGGGCAGCAAGCGAAACGGAGGAGATAGAGATCAAAAGGCCTAAAAGCATCAAAACTAGGACACCCATGTCTCCTGAGCATGAAAATTGCTGGTGTCTCATTGTCCTGTATGAAATCACCCCAGCCCAAGTCGCCTGATCATACAAAGGCGTGAGCTTTGACTATCTACATTTCTCTAGATTCAATTGAGGAAATTATCCACTCTTGTTATGACACCTGGATGCCACGCTATCATTTCTTTTTTGTTCTTGTTTTTTAGTTTCCTATTTTCTTTTTGTTCTTTTCGTTCCCGTATCTCTCTATCGCTCCCTCTCTTCCACCTCAGTGACTTCACAAGTAGCAGAGAACCAGCAAACTTGAGCAAAGCTAGAAAGACTGAAGCTTCATTCTCATTGCAGGTTAGGTCAGGTATTTTCTTGAAGTTCTCTCTCTACCTATTCGCTTGTAGGTTGATTTTACTCTGCATTTGCTCTAGTTATTTACAGATTAAATCCCTAAAAATCTCAGGTAAAAGGAAATAAATTATTCATAAATTGACATGAATAGACTTAGAAAGGGAGAGAAGTGGAAATAGATATCCAAAATTCCGGTTAAGGGTGGCTGCCTATCAATGAATAAAAGAGGAAGAAACTTTATATTTCAATAATTAATTGCGTTGGTCCTTTTCAAGACTTTTGGATAATTCTGTGCTCCCACAAATGTAGAACATTCAAAGTTTAGGACTGAGATCTTCATGTCCTTGCAGGAACAAGGAATTTTGTGCAGGATATGTTTGGTGGTGATCCATTTGCGGAAGCAGTGAGGAAAGAACACTCGTCAAATTGAAGGTTTGAGCAACAACCATGCTTTAATGTTGTAGATGGTTTTAAATTCTAATGCATTTGTCAAATTTTGGCTTATAGTTCATGGCCTGTCAACTGGAGTTCAGGATGCTGAGGTCTGGTTTGTTAGCAATGGAGACTGAAGTCTCCAAAAGATCATGTATAAATCATGCAACTTGTGCTATGCAGAACTGGAGCGTTGCGCCTAATTTTAGTGGACAGACATCAAAGATTGGCGTAAATTTTCCCCCTTTCCTCAAACAGAGGTGCACTTCAACCCTTTGGACATATACATAATATATTGTTGAAAGATATCTATTTCCTGTTTATCCATGAGCATGGCATGTTACTGGACTGTTTGTTGTCAATATCACTAAAACAGACTGACACCACAATTTCTTGTAATTGTCTCTCTAAATAGCTAACTGGTGTCTAAATTATTTCAATTTCCTATATTGCTGCTACAAAATAATTAACTTAACAATACTATACTCATCTAGATTGCAATTTTTTGTCCAAGTTCATTATTGTGGTTATTGCTCGTGTTTCATTATCAAGTAGTGATTGGTATATCGGATGATTATAACTCCCAAACTAGTGATTGGTATCCTTGGAAACATTCATATTTTTCCTTTGAGTTGATATGGTTGACTCTCCTGTCACGGAACAGGTTTCAGTTGAGAAGATGTGATTGGAGAATACCCTTTGCCTTAGACACTGGGGGGATAGCTGGAAATGGTGGACCGGAGAATCTTGATGGTGACAGTTCTGGTCTTGGTGGCACCCGATTGGGAAGAATAGTAAGTGCAGGCAGCAGACAGCTACTCCAGAAGCTGAATTCAGCAAGAAAGAACTTCCCCATGAAGATATTTCTCCTCCTGTTGGGTTTCTACACAGCAAATGCACTGGCTACAATTCTTGGACAGACAGGTGACTGGGATGTATTGGTTGCAGGTGTTGTGGTTGCTGCCATTGAGGGGATCGGTATGCTTATGTACAAAAAGCCAACTTCTTTATCTACTGGTAGACTGCAGTCTTTTGTGGTGATGGTGAACTATTGGAAAGCAGGTGTGTGCTTAGGTCTCTTTGTTGATGCATTTAAATTAGGTAGCTGAGTTCCACTTCGTCATTAGCTCCTGCATCTTCCCTTTCGAGGCTTTCTTTTCTGGATAATCCAACTGGTCCCGCTGATAGGTTATCGACAATCATGCTTTAAATGTAATTCTGATGTTATTTTCACATTCTGCTGAGAACCTCCATCGCTGTTGTTTTCACTGAACAAGGTATGTTCACAAACAGATTCAATTGATGCAGTTGGTTGGAGTCGACTAGATTCAATAGCACCGTCATAAGATGTTCTATCATCTTTAACATATAACTAATGTTAATAGAGAAATGGAATGCCGTTGCTTCTTTATCCGGACAAGATGGTATCAGTTAAAGAATTTGTACTAAATTTAATAAATGCATAGATATTGTATTTCGGTATGGCCTCTGACAATGATTAGCTTACATTTGGAAAATTCTTTCTACAAAAGGCCCGACTTTCTTCTCAAAAATTGAATTGCTTGATAGTTTAGAACTTGTACGAAAATTTTCAGGATGTAATAAAGAAATGTTGTCCTCGTATATACTGGTTTTATTGCTCGATTTGGAATGATAAAAAACAAGGATGTAATAAAGGTTATAAAATATATTTATTGGCATTAACACTTACGTTCCCAAGTATAGTGATGATCAATCAGTTGCTGCAGCGACAACAGCTATAGTTGCAAGGCCATTGGCATCCATGATAGTGCGAGTTTATGAGACAAACTTGTAAATTACAAATCTCAAATAATGGATGAAAGGATAATAGCAAAGTCTCCGTATTCGCAGGCCTATTCAAATTTGCAAATTACACTAAATCATGGAGAGAGGGAGGAAAGGAATGAGAAACTACGTTAGACTTTATGGATTACAATGTCACAGCTATCTCACATTTTTTGTTGCATTTTACTTCAGATTCAATCTTATTAACCTTTTCTACTATGTACTGGATCTTTTCTGACAAGCCCTGCGTGTGCTCTTCAATGTGCTGGAATAGAAGGTCTATAAATTCTCTGAGGGAAGCGGACCGTCTTCTCTCCATTATCAGCTCTCTAGTTAGATCATTGATTCTCTTGTCATCGACCTACCAAAAGTCCCGAAAAAGGCAATAGGTTAAAAAAGAAAAATAAGTGACAGAGGGGAAGGGGTGAAGTTGATGAGTCGATATGAAGAAAATTTACCAAGAAAATGCTCGCATGCTTAGCTTAGCCTAATGCATATTCCAAGTATGAAGTTTCTTTGCGCAATTGATTCTCAGTTTATAAAAGAAAAGCTATTATGAGAATTCTCAAGGTTAATGCCTCACCGGCTGCTGCGAAGTTTTAGATTCAGTGCTCTTACCATACCACAGTTGAGTTGATGTGTAAGTCGATTGGGCACATGGAACTAGAAGGCTAGGATAACCTTCCAGTTCTGATACTACTGCTCCATGGTAATACCTTCTCCATTCATTATCAAATGATCAAATTTGCATGAAAATTTTCAGCAAAACTTGAGTTGACAAGAAAAATATTTCAAATTGCTCCTTCAAGTTGAATGCAATTCAAATAGTAAATATCCGAAGTATGAGAAATCATTTAACAGAAGCTTCTTAAAGAAAAGAATAGTGCAGTGGCTTAACTAGTAATTAGGAAAATAGTGAAGAATTTGGTTTGCAGACAGAAGCAAAAATCTGATGAGCCACATTAATAAGTAAGAGGAGTCTATCTAATGCCAGTCATTTTCTGTGATCATTTTGTTCTGATCCCCTTTTGCTTACTATATTTTTCTTTCAAAAAATTCAGACTTTGTTATTTTGCTTTTAAACTGTTGAGGAGGAACACCATAAATCATTTAGAATTTGATATGAAAGAATGCTATAAGTAATTCAAATGTTGAGGAAGGGGGACTAGGCCAAGAACTCATTTGAGTGTGCAATTCTATATTTTGCAAAAAACACAATGAGGCAACATCAAGACAAGATAGGTCCCGGATAGAGTTTCAATCACAATTCTCTTAAAATAAAAACCACTTGTTTGCATTGTCATGCTAATATCTAAAGAGCAAGAAGAGGCATATGACTCACATAGAAGTGAAGTTGTAAGCAACAACTGACAACTGCTCAATAAAGAGTTAAACTGAATGGCTTTGAAAATATGTTAAATGATTAGATAGAGAGAGAGAGAAAGAGAGCTAAAGCAATTGGAGTAAAGCTGACCAAACTTGTGAAAATATTAAAAGCACCCACGAAAAATGCAAAGCATGGATGCAGAAAAAAAGGAAAGATAAGTACAAATAATGGTTCATACCAAATTCTGAAGTTAGGAAGTAGGGGGATACAGAAAAGACAGCTTGGTTCATTTCTAATCTCAAAATATGATAATCCATTAGTCCTTGATCTGCTCTAGCTTATAACAATCATGTTCAAATAGCTAAATTTGTAATTGAATATCCGCAGAAGACATTGTACCAAAATAAACACTCAGAACATTTTTATGTAAATTTTAAAAGAAAAACAGACATAAAAATTTGGATTACCCAAATTTGATGCTTGTGTCAAATGGATGAGTACCAGATATCAAAAGAACTTGTAAGTTGTGCGCATCATGTCTACCTGTATCCTACTATGCATGCACACATTAAACATTATCATTTAACAATCAAAAGAACTGACCTGATGAAATTTATGGACACGTGCTCTGTGAGAAAGGCTATCATTCAATGCATGAGAGTGCTCCTTTATGAAGCTTCTAATGAACCATTTCCCTGTAGGTCTTTTTTTGAATGAAACCCTTGCTTTGCAACCCACTCTAATGGAAGTCCGAGGTTCTCGTGAACTTTTACATATCATTTCATTCTTATTTTTGGGTCTCTGGAAACCTGCTCTGCTACAGACAAGTGTTCGTGAAACAACAGATCCATCACAATGATGGGTTTGATTAATACGGGTTACAAAACCCATACGCATGGCATATGCAGAAAAAAACTCAAATGCAGCTTCTTCTGATTCAAATTCTTGACCTATATATGGTTCATCTATGTTTAACTGTGGTACTGATCCATTATAATTTCCATCCACTGTGCCATCACTTGCAATTTTATGATTGCTATCAATCCAACTATTTTCTTTACTAGGAGGATCTTTACTATGTTCATAATCAACCCCAATACCTTTACTATGGTCAGAATCCACTGCAACACAGGATACAGATTCTATACATTAGGGAGAATTTGGAGTTCATGATAAACAACCAAAAGAGAATTCTATTTAAAATTTAGGATTTTTGCACTTAACAAGAGAAACCGGAAAGCCCGAATAATGCTAGTCAACAATACCAAAAATTGGTAAGACTAGATCATTGCTTGAACTTGATGGAGACTCTATAGACCCATATATAATATCAATACAAAGAGGAAAAAAATAATAAAACAAAAGAAGACAAAAGGAGAAAAAAGTTAGATTGCAACTGAACTAGGGGATCACAACTTCCAAGTTCCAAATGGCGGGTAAGTTAATTATCAAATAAATATAAAGGCACAATTTTCACATAAAGAACCAAACAAATATATTAATCTAGTAAAGCTTTTTTTTCTTTTCCATGAAACTGAGAACAAAACTCATAATTTGAGCAAAACTATCCATTTATCAGGTAAAGTAATAACAGAAAAATGAAATGCAAAGAACTGACTTAAGCAGTTCAATCTGCAACAAGAAAACACATATATCTATAGATTACACATATTAAATTCAGTATAACAGACATTTCATTTTAATCAATGCAAAAATAATTTCCTTTAGCTTTTGAACATGGTATATAGCACAAACAGCAATTAACGCAATCAAACATCAACACTTATTCATTTATTTTTATTCTGTAATATAACAATCCATTTAGCCACAAATGACAAAAACCGATCAGCTTCTCTATATAAAGGATCGATCTTAGCAAAAAGAGAAAAACTTACTCATTGCTGGGCTAAAAGATCGTCAATCCTAGCCAGATTTTCTGTTCGGTTGACGGGAAAATTTGTTGTGGAAATGGAATCTATCCACCAAGTTACGGTGCCACGTGAAATCATAGATGGTAAATCATCAGACTTTAGACGGTCCAGATTAATGCAACACGTACAATTTCTCGATGAGAGAGCTTGGGAACCACCAAGAGAAGGTCTTCGGCCCCATTTGTTTGGGCCTAATGCTTACTATCATGGCCCAATTATAACCCAATCGAAGCTCGTTAGTTTTTAATTATTTTTTTTTTTCGTTTTATTATATTTCTAAGCCTTCAACTTGTAAGAAAGAAAATACATGGGAAAAACCTATTTACACCCGGATTATGGAACCATCTATATACAAAATTAATTATAAATAATATTTTGATTTGAATGAAAATATTTCTAACCATATATTTGAGAGAAAAACAGCAACATTATTTGATATGAATATGAAAAAATATTTCCAAAATAAAGAATAATACAACTATTTTTTTTTTTTTTTTTGGAAGATGAATAATGTTAATTTGTGGAGTAACAAAAAAGTAGGAGTTGATTATCTTTCTAACAATTAATTCATTAGAACCCCAATGACATATATAGTTTAATTTCCAAGTCAAAACTAATTTTTGAAACATTATTAATTTGCTTGTACTAATAATAAAGAATCAAATGCAAAAATCATGAAAATGGCCTTTTTGATGATTATATTGTTACATAATTTGATTTGGATGATTGTTCTGATGAGCACATGCAATGCATCCAGGGAAGTACCATCTCTGTCTCCGTCTCCGTCTCCATCTCCAAAATTTTTAGCCATTCTTGTGTTTGGTGATTCAACAATGGATACTGGAAATAACGATTATATTCAAACAATAGCAAAGGCAAATTTCATGCCATACGGGATTGATTATCCGGGAAAAATTCCAACAGGGAGGTTTTCAAATGGAAGACTTATTCCTGATTTCTTGGCTTCTTATTTAAGACTTAAAGAGGCAGTTCCTCCATTCTTGGACCCAGAACTCTCTGATAATGAACTCGTCACAGGTGTCAATTTCGCTTCTGCAGCTTCAGGATTCGACGAGTCGACCAATCTTGAATATAACATCCTACCAATTTCTAAGCAAATTGATAACTTCAGGAATTACATTGCAAGGTTAAACAAAATTGTTGGCGAAGAAAAGGCCAGAACCATAATTAATAATGCTTTAGTAGTTATTGGAGCAGGAACTAATGATGTATCAGGAAAGGCCGAGGAAAATGACATTAAGTACCATGATGTTTTGCTGAACAAGACACAAACATGCATAAAGGTAAGACTAATATGTATATTTTTTTTTCTTTGTCGGGACAAAAAAAAGTGTACATTTAAGTGGTTAACTTGCAGGAATTGTATGATCTTGGTTGTCGATATATGATAATATCTGGTCTCCCTCCGCTCGGTTGCCTCCCTAGTCGCAGGAGTCAGAAACTTGATATAGATGGGAAATGCTTGGAGGATCTAAATGCATATGCTTTATCTTACAACCAAAAGCTTATTAAGTTATTGTCTGAAATGCAAGCAATGGTTGCAGGAAGCAAAATTCGTTATGTAGATGTGTATCAACAAGTAATGGACATGGTCAATAACCCACAGAGATATGGTAATTTAGCATTCATCTTATAAATTTACATTTGAAAAAGTTTAATTTAGCTAATATGTTCTCTTTTTTGGTATATAATGAACAGGATTTGTGGAAACAAAAAAGATTTGTTGTGGGACTGGACTTTATGAACTGTCATTTCTTTGCAATCCAATCACAGTGACATGTGGAAAACAAAATCAGTTCTTGTTTTTTGATTCAACCCATCCAAGTCAAACATGCTACCTTTACCTTTCTAGATACATACAGAAAGAGGTTCTTCCCAAGTTAATGTAGCGATCAGTTAAGACTACTTGTTTATATACATGGAGGAAAGAAGAAGAAGAAGAAGAAGAAGAAGAATCATGCATAATGTATTCATGTATTTATTCATCTATTTTTTGCTATATTTCATGAAGTAAATTCTCAACTCGAGCTAGCTATAAGAGTTTCAAATCCATGGAATCATTAATTCCAAGATTGATTAATGGGGCTTAACGACTAAGGGATAATGGGATGAACAAAATCTTGATAAAAAGGATCTGAACGCCATAATTTAGCAAGAAACTGGGGAGAAGAGCATTGCCTGTGGAACTGTTCAACAACCCAAATTGTAGTTTCAGCTTTAGCAGGATCAATTATATCTTCGAGCAATAGCTTATCGTTTTCTTCTCTAGATTGGTCCCATTCTTTTAAAAGCTTGTCTGTCAGATAATGCAATGGCTGCTCATACTTTTGCTTAATGGATTTGGCTAATCCTTGCCAGCTTATGAAGGGAATAGGTGACACTGTCGCCCCGCTTGCTGGAATCAAAATCTGTTTCATGCATTGCTGATATTTTTCTGCTTTCCTAATTATTATCACATCTGTAAAATATTATATATAACAATACCGAAACTAAGTCTATGAATCACGAAAATTCTTCAAAAAAAAAAAAGCTGAAAACATAAAACTAAAACAAAAAATCCAAAAGATCACATAATATAAAAATAAAAAGTAAATCAACTACAGAAAATGAACACATAAAAGTGAATTTGAAACATGCTTATACCTGAATCTTCTGGGTGGTGGAGTGGTTGGCTATCCCGGCCAGTTTCTGCAATTTTAATTCTCTTACTTCTGTATGTTTTCTTTCCCACATGAATTCCTCCATTATTGTTTCTTTTTTGGCTCTGAACATGCTCACATGAATCATCGGATTCTGTCTCTGAATCTGTTAAATAAAGATGATCTTTCTGTAAGGGGCAATAGGGTCGTAGCATAATTCTAATGCTAGAAAGCTTAAACAAGAATCAAAACGAAAAAGGGTTTTGGCTGTTATTATCAGAAATTTAATTTCATAAAAAAAAAAAAAAAAAAAAAAAAAAAGATTTCACATAATATAAAAATTAAAACAGTAAATCAACTACAGAAATGAACAACATAAAAGTGAATTTGAAACATGCTTATACCTGAATCTTCTGGGTGGTGGAAGTGGTTGGCTATCCCGGCCAGTTTCGACCAATTTTTAATTCTCTTACTTCTGTATGTTTTCTTTCCCACCATGAAAGTCCTCCATTATTGTTTCTTTTTTTGGGCTCTGAACATGCTCACCATGAATTCATCGGATTCTGTCTCTGAATCTGTTTAAATAAAGATGATTCTTTCTGTAAGGCGGCAATAGGGTCGTAGCATAATTCTAAATGCTTAGAAAGCTTAAACAAGAACAAACGAAAAAAGGGTTTTGGCTTTATTATCATGAAATTTAATTTTCATAAAAAAAAAAAAAAAAAAAAAAAAAAAAAAAAAAAAAAAAAAAAAAAAAAAAAAAAAATGTTAGAAGGGTAACGCTAAGAGTGGTCCACCCTCTTGTGCATGCCACTAACAAATGTTGATTTAGCATTTGATTTTCCAGGTAAAGTTTCTAACTCGTTACTCTTATTTTACCAGGTTTGAGAGTCGGTAGGTTTACATTTTTAGCAAACCAATTAATATACCTGGACTTGGTTTCTTTCCTTTTAAATTAGCAAATAATACAATCTTAAAAAAAAAAAAAAAAAAAAAAAAAAAGGTAGAAGGGTACGTAAGAGTGGTCCACCCTCTTGTGCATGCACTACAAATGTTGATTAGCATTTGATTTTCCAGGTAAAGTTTCTTTAACTCGTTACTCTTATTTCCAGGTTTGAGAGGTGGTAGGTTACATTTTAGCAACAATTAATATCTGACTTGGTTTCTTGTCCTTTAATTAGCAAATAATACAATCTTAAGCGTCCTCAAGTTGTCAACTCTTTTGTGGATTTTAAAGAATTAAAGCGGCATTTTAATTTTTATACAATAACCTTAAAAAAGACAATTAAGGTAATTAAATTGGTAAAACCTTTGGTACCTTCTTATTATATATAGCATAGGAGCTACAATTGGAAACCTTTTTAGTAACTGATGTGTATTGTAATTATACAAGTAAAGTTGCCTATTTGAGAGATCATGCTAAATTAGAGTGATTTATAAATCGCTAATTGTATAAATTTATTTGTGTACTTTATAAAGAAAAATAATTTTATAGCACTTTTTATGTTGTAGAAGATTTATTATGTCTCTAAAATTATGAATTTTGATAATATTGTATGTTTCTCGTACTAGTAATAAATTTTTTTTATTATTATTTTTAATTTAAAAAGCTGTAAAGATCGAAGATGTTACAAAATTTTTTTACATATAAAAATAAAGGAGCGAACTTATGCGATTAAAAATCGATTCAACTTACAGTATATGCGAAGTGATATGATAAAAAAAAAATGATTGGGCTCTTCTCTCCTCCATTCTTGTTAAGCCCCAAATAATAGAAATACATGTTTGCGCTTAAAATTCCAGCAATCCCTGCGGCCCAAGCCCATTCTATTCTCAACATGTGGTAGCAATCAGCTACTTTCTTATTATGTGGATTCTGTCTCCCCTCTGCTCTCAAGTAATGTCGTTTGTTTAATAGATATAAGTAGTTCAATTGATTTGCATAAAACGACAAGCGAATAGGAGTACTAATATGGGATAAACATGGGGAGCTCATGAACATTTGCAATACATATACATATACGTACATATTTTCTTAGTTCCCAAACAGAAACCATTCTCTTAGCCAATCGTCTGGTTGGTTCTCGAGTTCGATATCTTCCGGTGTTATTTCGGTTTACAGAAATAGTAAGAGGAAAGACAATTAAAATTTTTTTTTTTGAAGTAAATCCCATTCTTTGTATAGTAAGTATGTTATTAAAAATTACAAAGTCTGGTATTAAAGAAAACTATCCGAGGATCTATAAATCCCACATGAAGTTCCACAAAATTGATAGCAACTGAGAATTTTAAGCTCTCAAATGCTATTGCTGAACTTCACTTAAGACCCTTTAATTAAATTTTGCTTCCAGCTGCAAAGTTAACTTAATTAACAAAAGTAAATAAAAAAAAAAAAAAATCAAAATTATGAAAATCAGTTTTCTGTATACAAAATAAACCCTCTCTCTCCTTTTCTTCTTTTACTATGTATCATTCCATACTGTGAAAGTTGAAGCTCCATGGCAAACAGCCACATTGTTAGACCTAGGTGCAAGAGCAGGAACTGCTGTTGGCACCCAGTTGTTACAGGTTGAGCCCTGATCATATGCACTTGCCTTCACAGCACCTGGTGATGAAGATGATGATTGTTGTTGTGATAGATAGTAGAAGTTTCTTGCATTGTAAGCATCTGATGAACCAAATATACTTTGATGATCATACCCAATTGCTTTCACTTCTCCATCTCCAAAACCATTCCCTTGATTTTGATTCCCATTGTTATTATTATTGGATATAACTGTTGCCATTGGAATTGCATACCCACTACTTCCATTGCTTCCATAACTCATTCCTTGACCATCACCTCCATTGCTGTATATAACTGAGTTAGACCCAGAACTATGTTCCATTGAAGAAGAATCCATGCTCATTAGATTATGTAGAATAGAAGGCTGAAAGAAATTGTGGGTATTGCCCAGTTGAAGTTGTTGATGATGAAGATCTTGAAGGCTATGGTTATTAGTATCAGAATCTTGTTCTTGCTTGCACCAAAGTCTTTGTCCATATGGATAGTGCATGCTAAATGGCTGGTTATGATGATGATGTGTTTGTTGAAATGCCAAACTGGGCCATCCATAGCCACTGCTGATACCATCTGTAAAATGTGAAGTTATATTGTCATTTTCTGTTCTTTGTGTATCCAGTATCATTTCTGCTTGCTCTACGTCTTTCAACCGCTTTGCTGCTCCTCCAATGGGCAATGTGCTGCTCTCTAAGATGCTGTTAACATCATATCTGCTCATGTCAAAGTTGGTCACAGCGTTCAATCCTCGGAATTTTATGGCTGCAATGTCATATGCCTCTGCTGCTTCTTCTTGAGTGCCTATCATAAAATCAAAATCATTAATATTTGTCTTCAAAGAAGCACATCAAATGAAACCAAGAAAGTAGAAAGTTCTTAATTAACAAAATCAATCAAGTAAACAAATAGCTTACTGAAAGTTCCCAAGTAAAGGTCTTTGTTGCCAGCAACTCTTCCGATTCTTGCTTGCCATCTCCCATGTTGATGGTGTCTGATATCAGAAAACAAATTAGCAAGAAATTTAAATTAGTATTCTTCCCACACAATAGTGTTTCTTGATAAATGTAACTTTATGCTTCTTTTCTTGATAATTAAAGAGAGTTTTTGTCTTATACATTGATGGGCATATGATTAAAAATAAAATAAGCAAAAGATCTGGTGGTAGTGAGATAGATGCTCTGCAACTTTGAAAGTAAATTAACAAATTAAAGTGCAGAAAAGAGAATGAGACAAAAGAATTGTAAGAATAAAAGTAGATCAAATGAGAGAATATAGAATTATAATATCATCCAATAGAATTATGAAGCAAATCTTGCTTAGATAATAATATCTTGATTGCAATTATACCAACTTTTCAATTTCAAGAATGTTATATTGCTAAAATCATGTAAAAATTCCAATTGAAGTTATATTATTGGTCATCAAGAACGGCTGCGATGTGATATTCCACTAAAACTACAACCGACAAATAAAGACTGAATCTTTATATCAATGGGCAGCAGCTTTTGCTTTCCATTAATTCTTCTAGCATGCCAAAATGGCCTACAAGGTAATTGTTTTTTTATTCCTCAGCCTCAAAGAGATTAAATAAAGATTGAATCTTTTCATTCTATAATATATGAAATGGATTGCCAATTAACTATTTCAAATGTCTGAACATGAGAACTTCCGCATGCATAATTTATTCATTCATATATACAAAAAGATTGAATCACTAAATTTCAATTTATCTGTTAAAAGAAATGGAGATTGATTACCTAGTTACACCTCGATAAATGGATGCACCACGAGAAAACCCACTGCTCTTCCTGCATTTAATTAGCATTTAACATATAAATAAAATGGGTTCCATTGTAGATTTGGAAAAATAGGAAGAAGAAGACAACGGCATTTATAAGTACCTTCGCAGAGACGCAACATATTCTTGCCTGGTCATGTGCTTCATTTCTTCTAACTCTTTTTCATAGTTACTAATCTGCAATTTTATTTACAAATGGAGTTTCATTTTCAGTAAACAAAACCCATATCAATCGCTGAAACTATACATATAAGGACACATAATCCCTGTTAATGGGATACTTTTGGGGAGCACAAGAGCTTAAATTATGTTGGATTTCAATATAATAAATTAATAATACTCCAAAACATTTCTCCACTAGTGTTTCAAATAAAGGAACTGCATCTCTACATTGCCCCATTTATTATTAGAAATAGTAATTTTATTTTAATACAAACAAATAAAAGAAAGGAACTTACTGGAAAATTTGTAGTTGTAGTTGTACCCCAGTATTTCAATGCAGCTAAATCATATGCTCTTGCTGCCTTTTCTTCTTTATCATAACCACCTGTATTGTATACATATATAATCAAGCAAAAAAATTATTTCACCATCAAAATACAAGTTTATAATATCATGAACAAAGCTTTTTCAATGGAGGGGAAAATAAAAAGAAACAAGAGAGAGAAAAAGAAGAGGTCTTTACCCAAATAAACTGCAATAAGATTTGTGAAAGCCCCACCAGATATATGAACATCAAAAAGGCCAAGACAAGTTAGTAGAAGATTAATCAAAGAAGATATAATTTTCCATTTTAAAGTTTAATTAATTAATTAATATATAAATATGTAACCCCATACCTTGCCTTCCCTTTCGAGTTTGTCCTTCTCTTCTGCAACTATTATCCCATAAATGAGCCTCATATCTACCCGTCCATCTATGTCTGATAAAAACAAAACCCTAAGCTCATTACCACATATAAACAACTAACAATGTAAGAATCAAAGGAAACAAATTTAAACAAGAAAAGAAGATTCATAGATTATTTTTAAGGTATATACCTAGTTACACCACGGTATATAGAAGTTCTTTGCCCAAAAGTATCAATAGATTTTCTGGGAACTGATTCAATAGCACCTGTTTGGCTATCGAGACCACTGCTTGTCGTTTTTTGCTGCTTGTTATTATCAGAAGAAGAACTATGATCTCCTCCACCACTGTTATTATTAATATTTCCTTCTCCAGTACTCATAGAAAGAGACAAACTCTGCGCACCACCGCCATTAATGTTCTTGGTTTCTTGTTGCTGTTGTTGTGTCGGTGCTGGTTGATTTCTTAACCAAGTCTTGATCATGGATAATCCAATGGAGCTATTACTATTATTATTAGCAGTATTCAGACTATTATTTTCTTCTCCGTTGCAGGTTGTATCATTTGCTGCTTGCAAGGAGCAGTCTTGGAACATGTAGTCTCCTGTAGTATTATACATGGTAGCAAGCTTGTTTTCATGATTGGCAAATGAATGGCCGCCAAGAAAGTTTTCAAGCTTGGGTTGCTGGTTTTGATCAAGATTTTGAGTATTGCATGAAGAACCTATAAGCATACACAAGTCTGAGTTTGTTTTGTAGGCAGTTTCTGGGTTCATGCTTAAACCCTTCATATTCCAATCTGTCAACAAAGTAAATTTTTTTCAAAAAAAAAAAAAAAATGAAAATGTTTTAATATTAGTGCTTTAAGAATCTAAGTTCTGAGAACTTGCAAGAATAAAAAATAAAAAATAGAAAGAAATAAAAAAGCACTTTAAACCATTCAAAGATTCAATAGAGAGGGTTAGGGTTTTAATAAAAAACTATGTTACAAACCTTGAGATTGGTTGTTTCTGAAAGCTTCAAGTATACCAAAAGGAGCAGGAAGGTTGAGAGAAGGAACAGTTGAGTCTGAAGTGAGATCGAAGCATTCTCCGGAGACACCGGTACCGGAGATTTCATCTGAGTGGAAACCTAAGCGAGAAGCCGTGGTTTGAGAGTGATCTTGATGATGATCTGATTGTGATGGGAGCTGTTGAGGAGAAAGAGAGAAACCTAACCAGTTGTTCATGGAGCTAGGCTGTGATTAATAAATAATACTAATAACAATAAAAAAGATTTTTAATCTCTTCCTTATGGTAAAAAGATAGGCAAAGAGAGAAGAAGAAGAACTATAGTTCATGCATGAAGAAGCTTAATAGAGAGAACTAAGAAGCACTCCATGTATGAGTTTATAGTGCTGAGAAGGAAGAAAAAATAAAATTTGAAAACTCAAATGAAGATTCATATAAAAAAAGTATGTGTGACAAAACCATAAATGGGGGCAGCCCTTCTCAGTCAAGGGTACTTAATCTTTTTCACCCTAAAAGATACAAATGAGAAAATGAATAACAGTGTAGATGCTGACCCTATGGACATTAATGTACTTTTGCATGTATCTAGTTAATAATTAATGTATTAATTTACCAAGAAAGAAACAAATGAAGAGCCCCAAATGACTTTAAAAGTGGTTTTGATGGTGTGTAACTAATCTCCATCTTCCTATTCTTTCTTTAATTACTTATTTAGGCACTCACTTCTCTCTCTATATGTATCAAAAATTGCTTACTATAAAGAATTAATTACATTATTAAAAGGAAAATTTTTGTCCTAAGTGTATGAGTAGTCTTATGCATCAAGCCAATCAAAGAAAATTTTTTTTTGGAAAAAAAAGCTATTATTTTATTTTTTTCCAATATATGTTAGAAAATGTTTCATTTGAATTAAAATATTATTTAAACTGCAGTCATACGCCGGATTTAGATAAATCTTTTTCATTAAAAATAATTAAAAGGTGCACGACTAACAAATAATATTTGAATGTACTTTTAGATGTTGTAGATTGCAATCTAAAATTAGACAAGTTGAACTTATCTTGAAGAGGCTATCTACCTTTGCTAGTACTATATTTTAAGAAGAGGATGAACACATGGGGTCATGACCTATAAGCATGTGGTTTCGTAAACTTAAAACAAACACCCTTTGAATGAAATCAACTTTCAAAGATTAGATATGCTAATACTTCTTTAATTGATTCTACTAATCATATTTAATATCTCATTAAGCATTTTTATAGTATAATAGAAACAAAGAACTCTCTCTCTCTCTCTCTCTCTCTCTCTCTCTCTCTGTGTCAATCTTTTATAAGTTATAGTTGTAGTTGTTTGGTGTAGAACACCTGTAGAAGATGATGATATGATATAGAGTATCTCTGACAAGAAACCCACACGCAGCCCCCTCTCCACACCCATTTATCCATGCCCAGTTGGACAAAAGTCATTTCAATGTCAGTATAATCTGTTCCTACCACTCTTCAAATATGCATCACCATCATCAACACCCATAACTTTCTCACATTCCATCCATCCATCTTCCTATTTATTTACTATTATCTTTTTAGTCCTAATCATCAAACTGCTCCCCCGCTAGAAACGGGAGTCTCTCTCTCTCTCTCTCTCTCTCTACTGTCAGTGCACATAACAATAATTCATGCATGACAGACATTTTTAAATATATAATGCAAGGTGGGGGAAGAAAAGAAAAGAAAAGCTATATAGTAATACTACGAATATAGTATTAGAAAGTGAAAATTGTAAAAGAAAAAAAGAAAAAAAATATGAACATGGGTACGCTTGTTGCACCCCTATAAGAGGACATTAACCCCTGTCTTCCGGGTCCTTATTATTTGAGGTTATATATTTCATTCTTTGTCAAATATATTAATCAATTTTCTGTTTTCTTGACATATATTTTTTTTTGGTTTTGAGAATTTGAGAGGGACAGATTGGAGGAAAGGAAAGGAAAATCTAATTTCCAAATGGAACTCTCAGATACTCATCTCCTTTTTCAATGCTTTTGTCAACTGATTCTTCTGTCTCTCTTTTTGTTTATTTATTAAAAACGTACTACATATTTCCATTAAAAAGAAATGAAAGAAAACGAAAAAGCATGTAAAATTTGTCACCATTTATGAATTATATATATACAGAATAGAATAGAATGAAGCATATAATAATAATACTCCCACTGGGGGCATGCATGTTCATATGGTTTGGTTTTGTATTTTATGGGAAAAAGAAGAAGGAAAGAGAAGAGATTGATCTCGAAGGGTGCAAAAATCACACACTGTAAGTTTGACCGTCAAGAAAGGAATCAAAGACGGTAAAACCACATGGCCCTTAAAGAACCTTATTAGTATTATATTAAAAGCCTGCACCTCCCACTGTAAAAATAAATGCTCTCGGTAATCTAATCATATAACCCAACCCTCTATCTTAACTAAAGTTAAAAACTTTCACACTCTCTTTGACCTACTCCTCTTTTAGCTAGGGTTGCCCTTCTTCTGCTCCCTAAAATATAATCCATTTTGTTAACCAGTAAATATTTTTCCTAATGAGACAAATATACTAGTATTCAAATTTATATTTTCGATTTTAGGGAAATTGAAATCGTTTATCATCTATCCCTTATTTCCGATGAGAGTACTAATAATAGAAGGTAATGTGCAAATAAAGAATTCGAAGAGTTTCACCGCTTGGCTCCATCTGGGAGCCTCGTGCGTTATGTGGAGGGTGCCCTTTTGGAGGGTATATATGTGTGCTATGCACCTGAAATCTGAATCATGAAAAGGGACTAGTGTCTTTCAGCCATCCACACAGAGTAATTATCAATTAAAACTTTTATTTTATATACCCAAAAGCCAAAAGAAATATTGAATGAATGCCATGTGTTTGGATTGGGATTTTTGCCACCGCAAAATAGAATGCCATGTGTTCCTCATGCCAGTACTTTTTTTTTTTTTTTGAAAATCATTCCTGCTATGCTGATCCAAAGCCACTCATGAGATGGTATCCTAGATAGAATATTTTCTTTTCATATAGGATTAATTTAGATTCCATCACCATTTTGTCTCATAATATCTTTCTCTCAAAAATTTATATGCAATACTTTTTCCTATGCTGAAGAATGACAGCAGCAATCAATCATAGGAATTGGAATTGCTCTTAAAGGTCACTAATTATTTTTTTTTTTTTTACTAATTAAAAGGGGATATAACCTTCTAATTATGAAATCTGAAAAAAGGCAAAGAAAATTCCCAAATCTCTTGGATTTGGAATTTTTTTTCCTAAATAGAAAAAAAAGAGTTGAGCTTGAGCCCATGTCGTAAGGAAGTTGGGCCCAGAGACATGGGTTACATAGTCCAATTATGCATGGAGCCCATACAGTCCATGCTTTTATCACACCAAAATTTGCAGAGCTGCTACTGACTTGGTGGGGTTGGTTCACCCTTGCACGTGACCCCAGCCAGAGAAGCCGCAAAAAGCTTAAAAATAAAATATTCTGAAAATTAATTTTATATTAATTCTGCAAACAAAATATCCATAGTGGACAGAATTTTTAATGTTACTAGGATAAATTTAAATATTTTAGGATTTAAAAGTTGTTGTCTGAAATATTTAATGATTTTAACTTGTTATAACTCGCTCAAAATCTGAATAAACAAACTCCTGAAAAAGAAATTACTTGGTTTGGAGTTTCTTCTCTGGATATTTAAACGTAGCCAAAAATTCTTAATAAGCAAAGAACATGTTTTTTTTTTTTTTTTAAATGATAATAAATTATTAAGATCATATTTCCCAACAGTTATAAATCTTTATAATAGTATTTAGAGTTTGAGAGAGCATGTTACAAAATTAAAGTTGATAAAGATAAACAATCAACCCAACGGATATTACAAAATTAACAATTACAACCCAACCGATATTAAGTGTGTACAGATAAATATATATACGCATACACAATATCTAAACAAGTATTTCTAAGAACACTGCTGCAATGCTTCGACTTTCCAATTTAAAATTATGGATCACAGTCATTCAGGCAGGCTAATATTAGAATGTGATTATGTCACACCTGAAATAGATAGTTTTGTCACTTATTTGAAATTAGCAGAAGAACTAATAAAACAATTTATAAAACAATCAACCCAACGGGATATACAAAAATTAACAATACAACCCCAACCGATTATTAAGTGTGTACAGATAAATATATATACGCATACCACAATATCTAAACAAGTATTTCAAGAACAACTGCTTTGCAATTGCTTCGACTTTCCAATTTAAAATTATGGATCACAGTCATTCAGGCAGGCTAATATTCAGGCTAATATTAGAATGTGATTATGTCACACCTGAAATAGATAGTTTTGTCACTTATTTGAAATTAGCAGAAGAACTAATAAAACAATTTAAAAAAAATAATTGAACGTTTTTGATGATTTTATATTGGGAAGATATACTATATTGGACTAGTTTTGTGGGCACAGAACAGTACAAGAATTATACTCTAAAATATACTGACACAGCTCAAAAACCAAAGCTCAAAAACCAAAGAAAGAGCCAGTGGGAACTGGGATTGCATTGGAGAAATCAGCGGAGCACCCACCCGTGCCTCCTCGGAAACTATACGTTCTCTTCTCTTCTCTTCTCTTCTCTTCTCTTCTTTACTCTATCTCTATCTGTATTTCCCACCTCTTCTCCGTCCCTCATCAGGGTATTTCCAAGAAAGAAAAAAAACTCTTCCTTTTTAGAGATCAAAAAGAACCCAGTTCTTCGTCCTCCATTTTCGTTTTCTTTTTATTTTTTTACCCGTTTCAATATCAACGTATATATATATATATAAGAATATATATATATATAAGAACAAGTCAAGTCAAAGGAGAAAGAGAGTTAAAATATTTTGTGTAATGGCAGCATTTAGAGTTAAAATATTAGTACAAGACTCATGCGTGTCTGTGACTGTCTCTATACTATCTCAAATAGAATACTCTCATAAGCCTCTCATAAGCTAACAACTCCTAGGAATGCTCATTCTCGTCTCTTTCTTTTATTTTCAAAACCCTAAGTAGGGTTGGGATTCAAACTTTTTTGACTTGGACTTTGCTAATTATGTTTATACTATCTTTTAACTCCATATTCCATTTAAATTTCAAAACCCTATGTAAATTTAAAACACATATTCTTGAAATATAGAAGAGATCAAACGCCAATACTAAGTAAGTTTTAGAGTTGAGCGATGTATAAGTCTTCTAATATTCAAAAACAGCTGACAGTTATTAAAATAACCAATAACTTCTAGAAATAACTGCAGCTATTAAAACAATCGATAACTATTAGAACAACTGATTTTATCGAACAGAACTCTAATCTTGAAATAATATTATATATATTTCTTGAAATTATATAAATATGGTCTTAGATTAAAGGGTTGAATCATTATTGGTACCCCAATGCCCTAAATTGATCTTCTCCCCTAATAAGGCCTTGGCATGTGTAAACATATGCATGAACATTCACATTACACCAAGCAAGCAAGGTGCATATTGTTGCGTGTGATTTAATTAAGGTGATCTTAATACATTACAGATTACACCAACTGTAAAATTAAATTAGGATAAGTCAAAATAGTTGGTGTATAGCCTATAGGGCCTACTTGCGTCTATCTAATTATACTAATTAGAAATGTTTCTGTTCCTTTTATAATATTTTTTATATATATATTACTTAATTAATCACCGCCCGATTCCATCAATATATCATTTTATTACTTAATTTGTCTCTGCTGGCTTCAAACTGTACATGTTAATCATGCAATTTGTCAAACTTTTTATTGCTTAATTAGGGAAAATTTACTTAAATTTCTAGGTACTGAAGAAATTAATATTATCCCATTTGGTTGGTGTGGTTTCTTTTGCTTATTTAAGGAACCAACTTATCTATTTTCTGACTTCTGACCCATAAACATTCACACAGTAACATAAAATATTACTTCTTTTTTTTTTTTTTTTTTTTTTTTTTTTTTTTTTTTTTTCAAATGCTTCTCTCTTTGGGCCAGGGTCCGCCCACAATTAGGCCCAGATTCTTTGGACCTCATAAGTCGATCTAATTTTTTATTATTTATGTTTTTTCTGACTAATTGGTACCAACTAATTAAACTGTTACTGTGTATATTGCGCTTGAGACTTCAAAGTCTAGATAAGCGATTCTTTATGTACTTGGAAGTAAATTGAGCATATTACTCTCTCAACAACAAATTTTGCCACTGTACTCATACAGAATAAGGCCTCCATGAACAAATGAATATTGAATACAGAATGCATATATTTTCAAGCAGAAAATATGTTCATGCATTAACATGAGAAGTTGAAGAAGCATCCATTACTCTGGATGTCCTTGAATGCTTAGCCAGCTTCTGCTTATTCTCAACTCCTAACCATTTTTGGATAAGTTGAAATACTTGTTTGTCGCGTAGCAGTCCACGGTGAGTTTTGTCGCGTAGCAGTCCACGGTGAGTTGCGGCAATTCCTACTCTCTCAACTGCCTCGAATCCATCCGCCTGAGAAATGGAAAAACCATTTGGTATTTAATCAAGGTACAGGAAATAAAAGCAACATCCTTTGAAAAATGCTTTTAGGTTGAATATAAATGCCTAGTGACAGTTTTGAGAAAATACCTTAGCTGATTCAGACGGAACGGTTCCATCTCCATCCACATAAGAATAATGGGGCTGTTACAAAAATTATTTTTCAGAAAAACAGGAGTTCAATATGAAACAAGAAATTGTGTCCTAGGTCTAAGATAACAGGTAAATCAAGACTATGAAATACTATATCATGGGAGAATTACATTAGCTTATCGAGTTTAAACTATTATGACCATAACTACATCTGGATCAGATATGAAGAAGCACACCTATCATCTATTATTTTCTCAAAAAATAGCTGCATTTTCATGTCAGGATTGTGTTATTGTCATGTTCTGTGTCCGTGCCTCAAAGAGGTTAAAATAGCAATCTTATGTAGGATGACTGTTTTAGTAGCATCATGTAGTCATCTGCACATTAACCACTTACCAAAGTGTGACAGACTTCAGACAAATCCTTGATTGGAGAGGTCTCTGTACCGTATCTGCATTATGTATAGATACATCAAAGCAGCTCAAATAAAGAACATTAGCACCACATAAAATTTAACTCATTTCCCAAAGTAAATCATACCGAACATCGAAAGGAGTATCAAATGATATCCCATAAATGTTATAGAAGGAAACTCCTTTTGGCAGTTGAGCATCATTGAGAATCTGGCGAGTACCAGCAGCCCACATGAGGATGGAAAAATTAAATGGTACAGCAAATGTATTTCCATTATAAGTTAGCTACAAAAGCAAGAAAAAAGTAATCAAAATATAGCTGGTGTGAAAATAAGGAATGCAAATTACAGAGCTAAACAAAAAGTCAGATGACAATCAAAATGATTCCTTTAACTTCTTCATTTGCTGTTGAGTCTCAGGGGAAAAAGGTTCTCTTAGGCGCATGGTCCTCAAGATTCAATCTCCAAGTGGGACTGAGGATTCTCAAAGCAAGCACGGCACTGGAAATGGAACTTAAAAGGGAAAGAGAGAGAGAGAGAGAGCAAAGAAAAAAGGTGTCACCGCTTCGACCTCAAATCCATTCATGGCCCTTCTTTCCAGAATTTGCCGTTATTGAGTAAGTTTGTTCAGTTGTAGCTTATTCTCCAACTTGTCCATGCATCAGCTAGGAGTAGATACAGATATCTTGATGCTAAACCATATAATTTTACCAAAACCCCAGCATACAGACCATGTTATGACATGACCAAATCTAAGATTGTTTGCAAGAATAAAAAACGTTACCTCATTATTCTTCAATGCTTCCTGGAAGAAAGTGATACTATCAAGTGGACCATAGGACTCCAACTCGATAGAAGTTTCATCACCATCTGATTGCTCTCGCCAAACTTGAATTTGCGGTTGTCTTTTCCAATTAAAATATGGATTTGCTAGCATCTCATAGATTGATGGCACTCAACCAACTATATACAAAAAAAGACAAGCACATCCACAAATGAATTTTTCACCAAATATCATCACAATATTATGCACAAAGAAAACTAAGAGATCATCTAACACTTAAGTTACATATGACCAGCCCAAGTGCCAGAAAAGAAAATTACCAGCTGGTGCATTGTCCATCTAGATACAAAAAAGTAGCTCTCAAAGCCTTCAACGAACTGTAACCCAGTTAACAAGGAATCATTGATACATCCCGGTGCACCTGTTAGCTTAAGAAATCAATTCTCAAGTTTGATTTAATAATTCAAAACAAAGAGAAAGAAAAATCAGGAAAAAAATATCAAATTGTAACAGAGAAGACTGGAATTAGATTATTAGGGTCCATACTATTGACCTTCCCTACAATTCAATTCAATTAGATGGTAAGCCATGGCATACATCATAGATTCCACGAGAAAGAGGTTTGAATAAGAAGAGGAGGTCTGATGAACAACTAAGAACATATCTCAAACAAACAAAAGTTAATATTGAAGATATATTTTCAGGAAACTAACATCTCTGTTTAATGCATGTTTGCTGCTCAAAAACATTATGTAATTTATAGTACCTTGAAAAGGGGTTGCAATGCAGATCCATTTGTTCACTAACTTTGAAAACACCTGCAATAAACAAGTTAAAAAAATAAATTGATAATGCCCCTTTATGCCCAATGAAGGGATTATACTTCTATCCATGATGTTCCATGAAACATGACAGTGCTTCAGGAAACATTATGCATACATCTGCATGAAGTGACATGAAACATGACACTAGCAGTCCGCCCATTGAATGCGAAATTATATTAACTTTTCTATGCCCAGAAGCTTCATAAGCAGTTTCCAGCTTTGATTTAAGTCCTTCCATTAATTTGTCAATTCTGCCAATAATAAAAAAACTTATGGCCTGAAATTAACTATAGATAATATGTAAAAACCTTAAAATAGTAGTCAGACAATATTAAATTTATGTAAAGCTGCAAAAGATATAGTAACATGACAGATGACAGCTGAAAAAACAACTTAATACACACACACATAAAATGAGTGGAAAATAGCTTACCTATTGCTTTGCCGGAAATCATAGCCATGTCCAAATAGTGTGGTTCCCTTCTTATATCCACATTTAATGAACATATTAATCATATCATGGAAATGATATACCTCTGTCAAGTGTGTACATTTAACAAACTGGAACATGGACGAATTTAACATCAGCAACATATAACAGAAAAATACTGTTTCGAATATGTCATACTAAATTTAATGTTGATATGTGCAGTAAAAGAACATATAACATACTGGTTCTTTTTTTTTCATTCATAGCAACCAAATACGATACGTGCATACATGAAAAGAAAATGATACCTGTCTTGGGATTATAAAGAGACCATATTCTCTTGAACTCATAATCAGCTAAGAGAATCCGGGCCCAAACCGGGGTCGAGAACCCGAACTTTTTGCTCTTGGAATTGAGAATAGACCCTCCGATTCCGGAAACTAGTAGGATTGAGTCACGCTCGGGTTCACTATCCACGGTGCTCGGACTTCCGAAACAAGGGCAGAAACCGCAATCTGGCAGCATCCTTTGCTTGACGCGGACAATGACTCTGGATTGGGATCACAGAGGAGCAAGAGTGGCAAGAAAATGGTAGCTTGCAGTGACACTGTGTTTGCAGTTGGTCAAATAGAAATAGAGTAGAGTTTTTGGACAAAAACGGGTAGATACGAGAAGCATGGAGACTGTGGACCAAACTTTGTACTTTGGTCCTTGTACTTTTAATTTATTTAGCCAGCTTTCTGATTTATGAATAAATACTCGTTCCACTACTCTTTTTCAGGTTTGGAATCAATATTTTCGGACATGGGAATAACAGAATCACGTGATACCGATGATATTGATGATTCTATTGTGACTTCTATTACGAGTCCTTGGTATGAGAAATTAATTGATACTGTGACTTCTATTCACATTTATGCCCACTATACTCTATTTATTTTTTTTGCTTCTTATAAACTTTCACTTTGCAAGAAAAATTTCTACACTAAAATCTTGTCTTAATGTTAATATTTTACTTTCCATCAAATTAACCAATATTTTTATTTCAATTCAATAAAAGACCGAGAAAGGGTAATTTCCTGAATAATTCAAAATAGTAAAGAAAAAAAAAAAACGTAATCTCCAATATGAAAGCGTCAAAGGAGTATCTCTTAACTGATTTAACTCCCCGACAGAACCCACTAGTTCTGTATGCACATAGTTCCCATGCGAACAACTCGGTATCTTCATCTCCCAACTCCGTGTCTTCTTCCGAATTACTGTATCGATTAGTTCCAGATACGAACGCCTCAATTCCCTGAATCCAAACTCTGTATCCTCAGTTACACTTTGTTCTTCACAAGGATCTATGGGAATCGGATTGGCACTTGAGCTATCAATTAATTCCAGATACGAACTTATCTTCCTCACCCACTCTGACTCCAATCCCAACTCTGTATCTTCTTCTGAAGGTTTTCTTTTTTGGATTAATTCTTTTAATTCGTTCGCACGCACAATGCGTATTCCACACCTTTTGATTACATTTTCATCGAAAGTTAGCTCGACCTCAGTCACACCTTGTTCTTCATAAGGATCTCTGGGAATGGGACTGGCACCAGAGGAGCTGTAACAATGGCCTGATTCAAAACGCACATATGAAGGGTATTTAATGGGAATGGGATTGGCAACAGAGAAGATGTAAAGATGGTCTGATGTAAGAGGCACATCGTTTGAAGGGAATTTAAGACTAAGGTAGCTGTTCCAAACCTCCTTGTTTTCCTCATATAGTGTAAACTTACAAGGACGCTGTCCCTCATAAACTGCTTTTCCTGAAATCACAACACAAATAACAAAACCTGCAATGTTCCACCACTTTTCACATGGAGGTAGGAGTAGTGTCAGCGGATTGCTGGAACTCTGACAGTTGAACCATTCAGGAATTTCGCTCCCAGGGAACCGCATAGAGATGTCAAGGAACATGAGCGAATGTGGCTCACCTAGATAGTACCCTTTCTGCATGAACAATTATTACCTATATTTTATTAGTACTTGACACGCACAAAAAAGTTCATTGGGATAAAAAGGAAAGGAAAGAATGATTTGAGAGAGATACCTCAGGGCAACATCTTTCATGTCGCATGCTAAGCACCAAACGACTTGCTAGAAGAAAAAGAAGGTGACTTTTCAACCATGTAAATGCCGCTTTGATATTCCCTTGATAATTATCATTCAATTTGGAGCAATTTGAGAATTCCATCAAAATATTCACCGGATTATTTTGTTTTTCAGATACATTTGGAAGATTTTCCAGAGAAGTGCAATTATTGGCATGTAGACTTGTAATTGTCGATGGAAGATCTGGCAATAACTGAAGCCTCTTGCAATTAGATACTTCGAGAGAATCAAGATGGGAAAGATTACTGATGCTTGATGGTAAGCTTACAAAATTATTTCCACTTAGATCGAGACGTTCCAGGAAGGGGAAGGAGACACTGAGGTCATTGGGAATTGCTCGTTCTGGGAGCTTGCAGTAACTTGCATTTAGTTCTTTCAAAGCGGGTAAACCTGAAGAAAACACAATTGCCATAGGATGTGGATTCTTCCAAGTCCAAGACATCAGCCATGGTGGGAGATGGAAATCCCATTGTTCAGCTAATTCCAATTGTTCCATACCAATCCCAGTTGCATCAAGCTTCTCCAAACAGGTCATATCCTCCCACCTATCTGGAAGTTTTATAAGTTTTGAACAACCACTCAAGATAAGAGTCTGAAGGGACTTCAAGTTACACATGCTACTCGGAAGAGCCACAAGGTTTCTACAGTTCTTCAGGTTCAGAAAAACAAGCCTTTTCATAACTCCGATAGATTGGTGTACTTCACGCAGGCTCTCACACCCTTCAAGATTCAACTTCTCAAGATTCGGGAGCCCTTGAAAGTCCGGGGTCTTGATTAGACTTCTTGAGTAACTAAGATCAATGACCTTCAACAACTCATTAACGGGCTGTAACAAGATATACCAAAAAAAAATGTATTATACATATATATAATGACATTGTAATAGACAGTTGAATAAAGAAACACTTACTTTAATCGATCTCTTCCATAGTTGTTCAATATTGCTGCATTTCATATGGAGCTCGACAAGTTTACCTGGTTGAAAATTTGATGGAAAAGATTTACAAGGACATTTATACCATTCCAAATACCTTAATTCATTGGAAAGATATTCAATATCCTGAGACGCGGGTACATCTCGGAGTATGAGCAATCTTAGCACTTTCATTCTGGAGAAGACTTTAGCACTCAATTGTTCCTCTTGTTTCCAGGAACGCAAGACTATAGCCTTAGCATTTGCTTCCTGACAATTGAAGGTATATAAGAAACAAGAGACAAACATAAAATTAGATACCTCAAAATTTTAAGTTATTGAATGAAATGTAGTCTGTAACTACAAAGTATTGCTTACCATGTTCTTCACTTGAATGTGAGAGACATCCTTGTCAAGCCATATTCTCCTACGTAGCCCTGGATTTTCACGAGATTCTTTATGAACAATTTCTCTTCCCATTTCTTGAATCAAATCATGCATCCACACACTTCCACAACAAATAGTTATGAGAGATTTATCAATGAGGTCTCCTATTGCACTATCTGGGAAGAATCCACAACTTTCTAGTACTTTTAGCACATAATCTGTCTCCATTCCTTTGAAGAAACATGCAATATCAAGGAATATTTCTTGTGATGTTCTGTCAAGCCCATCATAACTTAATTGAAGCTTGCTTAGAATTTCTTCATTTGGAATTTTTTTCAATTTATCTAATGTCTTGTTCCATTCCTTCACAGATTTACCAAACAAAGATGAACCTAAAACTTTAAGAGCTAAAGGGAGGCCACTGGCATATTTTACGAACTCATGACAAAGCTCTCGGTATTCCTCCTCGTGAAAATTGTTCTTGATGGCTTTTGAGCAAAAGAGTTCAGAAGCATCTTCATAATTTAACCCCTCAACCCAGTATGTCTCATCTACTCCATGTTGTTTCAATAAATGTTCATCTCTTGTTGTTATTATGACTCTACTTCCAATACCAAACCAATTTTCATCCCTTCTTCCAATCAATGACTCTAATTGCTCCAGCTGATCTACATCATCAAGAATGACCAAAATCCTTTTACGACAAAATCTATTTCTTATCTCATCAGTTCCTCCATAAACATCATATACTGGTATGCCGTCATACATACTGGTATGCCGTCATACATTAGTGTTGCAGATAGAAGTTGTTTCTGTAAAAAAACTATACCATTTTTTTCAAAAGATTCTCTAACACTTCCAAGGAAACAACTACCTTCAAATTGCCAACGAATAAACAACTACCTTCAAATTGCCAACGAATATCCTTGTAAACAACACCAGCAATAGTTGTTTTACCTATTCCTCCCATCCCACATATCCCTATAATTCGAACTTTATTCAATTGCTCTAGGTCCAAATAATCAAACATTTTCTCCAACCTAGACTCCATTCCCACAAAATCCTTGGCAATGCTATGACTTGATCTTCTCAATCGTCTAAGTATGGCCTCAACAATTTCGTCAATAAACTTTGACTCATCCCTGTAATGGCAGAGGTATTATGTTCAGAAAAATATAAATTAAATAGAAGTCATGTTTTAAATTAAATAGTTGTTTTAAAAGTCATGTTTTAAAAAATTTCTAGTATTTTATATATGGTTACAGGTCTGGCTTTTCTTAATTTTCTCTCTCTCTTTTCCCTAACAATAAGTAATTATTGACTTTCATTCATACCATTTAGAACTCTTTTTGTTAGTAAAAGCTATGTCTAGAACTGTTAATGTATTCCAATTTAATTAAATGTACAGTAATCTGATTAATCAAAAGCAGCAAGAACTTAATAAGAATAGTGAACTAAGATAGGATATAAAAATTAAAAAGAAGAAAGAAGTTGTTCTAACCTGTCGCCTAGATGCCATCCAGAGAGGTTGGCCACCTCCGTTAATGCAACTCTCCATTCTTGGACCTTCTGAAAGTGGTTTTTGAAAAGTTTTTCATACTCAGTGAAGGGTTCTCCAAATTTACCATCCTGATTTTGCACATCATATGGACTCACATCATAGAAAATAGGCAAAACGGTCTGCCTCCCAGCTTTCTTGCATTCAAAAATTTTTACGAGTTCATCCAAACACCAAGTGGAATTAGCATAATTTTGTGAGAAAATGACAACCAAGATTCCTGAATCTTGTATTGCTTTAGGGAGCTGTTGAGGCACGGACTCTCCTTTTGGAAGTTCTCTATCATCCTTGAAGGTGATGACTCCCTTTCGAATCAAATCGTTATACAGATGGCTAGTAAAATTGTTTCGAGTGTCTCCACCTCTGAAACTAAGGAACACATCATATCTCCATTCTTGTGCAGCAGCAGCAGAAGCCATGAGAAAGTTTCCTTTTTGGTTTCCTACTATGTTTGTAGGTCTCTTCGAATGTTACATAATCAAATCCGCTCCATGAAAGGATACAAAATAAGAAAGAAGCGAAAATGCTTTCAATAAATATACTATATACGGACTTATTTTAGTTTTATTTTTCATAATAATGATTGAATAAGCATCTTTCTGTGTATTAGAAAAATTTATGAGATGAATAATAGGTTAGTCACCCTCTTAGCTATATATATATAAAGATTCTGTAATGGAGATGAATAATAGGTTAGTCACCCTCTTATAGCTATATATATATATATATATATATATATATATTATTATATATACGTAAAAGAATAAGGTGATTACTAAATTGTAGTGTTTACGTACAATATATATAAAAGAATAAGGTGAATTACTAAATTGTTAGTGTTACGTACAAATTAGGGTAAATTAAGTTAGTTTCCAAGAAGATGATGATAGAAAGTAAAAACTAAAACAAGAAAGAAAGAAAGGAGATAGATCATAAATGAGATGTAATAGAGGCCATAAGATTGGAATTATTGGGACGCGAAGTGGGGGCACGTGTTTCAGAGATATGTGGCTGTGTGTAAAGAATGATTTTTATGCTCGCTACCTACTATGACTCCACTTGTCAATGCAACAAGAATGAGTTCATTACGCACACTCTCTTCTCTTCTATTTATATTTTACTTCTTGCTATTTTCCTCTTAATATATAAATCCAAACAACCCATTGCTTCTTTCTGCATGAGGTTGAGAGCTTTCTTCTTTAGATCACAGAGAGCTAGGGTTTCTTCAAGGCCCTGCTTCTTCTGTTTTTTCCATAGTTTCAGAGAGAGCTAGAAAGAGAGAGAGAGAGAGAGAGAGCCTTGTAAAGGTTATAATCAGAATCAGCAGCAGAATGAAAATATCTAACAAGAACCTTGTAAAAGTTGCCACGTCTAAAGCATGGATTGCCCAAAATCAGTAGCTAACCATTGAAACCACCACCAACGGACGGTGGTAAATTGATAATAAACGCTAAAGCCAAGTCTAGGTCATATAATAAGTATCCATCAACCTGTCTGATGCAGACAAATCTATTTACGGCACCATACCCTTCTCAAAGGGCATATGATATGTATTTGATGTGATTTTTATTAGGTATATTATTTATTTCCGCTTGAAAGTTACACACACTGACTTTTCCAACAAATTATTTCTTTTTGTCATTAGTTACTGTGTATGTATGGTGAATATTATAGCTCCCGCATTCTCGGTAACCGTTATAATATATGACAAACTTCGTCTAACGGTAGTATAATCCGTTATAAAGTCTATTAAAGAGTAATACAAATTTTAATAACATTTGGATCCTAAGGCATCAAAATTAATATAGAATGAATTGACATTTCATTTGATTATTTCTTTGTCTAAAATATAAGTGGTTTTAGAATAATTATTTTATTTCAAAATATAAGTCGTTTTGAGTATTTTAAGAAGTAATAAATGATAAATATATTTTTTAATTTTATCATTGTTTATATTAGAAAAAAAACTATCTTTATACATTATCTTTTGGTTTTGAGATAAAAGGGTAATTAGTCAAATTTTATTGTAATTTAAGAGAATCAACTATTTATTAACTCTCGCGTAAAAACCTTAAACGATTTACATTTTGGACTAAAAAAAAAAACTTTTTTTTACTATTTCACTTGTTTTATGCTTACATATAACACATCCCTCCCTCATCACCTAAGGGAGGTAATAATACACAAAAAGGGGAAAAGAGAGTATACAAACATTAATTATTTAGCCATTTATAATTAAATACATAAGAACATATTAAACTGCAATTTCGTTTGGATTAAGATCATTCGATGTTTCCAAGCTTCTCTCATTACTCTTCTTGCTTGCTTCCTCTATTTGTTCTTGTTCTTTTGCAACTTTTTTCTCATCGGGTTGAACATCCACTGGATAAACTTCAGAATTCCCTAACACTGGATAAACTTCAGTGTCGGTCTCATCCTTTGGAATATAAAGATTAGTTCTTTCAATAACAATATTAGTTATGAAATAAATTTTTCCTATTTAATAAAACAGCTTGCATTTCCAACATTATTTATGATGCAAACTTCATCTTTATGGATATCGATATAGAAAAAAAGAATAAAAATTAAACTAAACATATCTTATATATATACTTTAGTTTAATTTGCACCAGTACTCTAGTTCCATGCAACTTAAAAACTGATAACCAATCTTCCAGAGTATAGAGATTGAGAGTATAATTGTCACAAAGTAACTTCAAGGCATTTTCATTCTCTTAGCAAAGTTCCCACTTTCACTATCGATACTGTCACTGCAATAATCATCATGGCTTCTCTTGCTTGTAGCAGAATTGTTATGACAGGGGAAACCCAAGTTCTCAAGCCTGTTGCATTGTTCACCAACATCGTGCTCATATATTATGCGAAACCCACAGTACTTCACCTTCAATTTCACCAACATCGTGCTCATATATTATGCGAAACCCACAGTACTTCACCTTCAATCCATTTGAAAAAAATGTCATCTTTATTTTTCTACATGCTTCACCCCAAGCTACACCGTTTAAAGAGCTGCCTGGTATGAAGTTGAACCAAATTTTCTCTGCCATATTGCCTGCAGTATCCCCTGAGATTTCTGTGCTTTGGCGACCTAGAAATAATGGTTGATCTGACATATATGCGTGCAAATCACAGGAAAGACTAGCAGTTTCCGATAATGAAAGCGCATTGGGTTCGAAAACTACACAAATTGCAAACCCCATCCACTTGTTACTATACCAATATGGAGGCAGCTCCACTTCTAATGAAGATCCCATGCCCATATAGTCGAACCATTCAGGTACTTCATTTCCAGCTAAACACATTGATACATGAGAGCTTGGATTAAATAATCCCTGCATTAATGTTAGAAAATAAAAATGAAAAATTGTTGGTCATAATCTTTATTTCTTAAAGTCTATTTTGAAAAAGAAAAAGTATTTATGTTCAAGGAGAGAAACCTGGGAGCTATGCTTTAGCAGGAAATGCAGGTAACTTGTCACCCTCGCAAAAGCTGTGCAATTTTTGCCTTGAACCTCAACCAACTGGATGCGATTCACGAAAGTTAATGATGAATGTTTCGAGTTTCGAACCCTCTTTTTAAGTGGATTTGGAAAGTTTTCTTTGTGGCGGTTAAACCTTCAACATTAGATTAACAATAGTTGATGCAAGACCAGCATAGACTGAAATCCTTTCGCAATTAGGAACAAAGGTTTTCCAATTTGTAAATGGCTAGTGATAGTTCTTGGAAGCAAAGCTCCTAAGGAAAGAGACAACCATGCGTACTGAGATACAAATACTAGATTTTTGAAGATTTGGCAATGACTGAAGCCTCGTTGCAATCAGCAAAACCCGTAGGTCTTCAAGTTTTTCGAAAGTCTGATAATGCTTGTAAGGAATGCTGACAAAGTCATTTCCCCTTTAGATTTAAATGTTTTGCAACAATGGGAAGAGCTCAGATCAATTAGGAAGTGTCCTTCCAGCAGATTGGCAAGTAACTTAAGTCTAATGTTCTCAAAGAGCTTAAAATGAAAAGAGGGCAAAAAAGAAATGAAAATTTTGATTCTTCTTTGGAATAACATGAAGGAATAACAAGATCCCATAGTTTTAAGCATTTGTAAGTTCTCTCGCAGCTATTCCGCCGATATTAAGCTTCTCCAAACTTGCCATATCTCCTAACCTTTCAAGGCAAGGCTTTGTCAAGTTTTGAGTCAGCCTTGCAAAATAAGACGGCTTAAGTGACTTCAAATCGCAAAAAATAATGCTATTTGGAATCCTGACAAGACCTTGCAGTCTTTTTCAAATCAAATTATATGTGGAGCCTGTTTAAGAACTCCAATGGATTCATCTACTCATATAGTCTCGTGCAACCTTCAAGATTCAGCTTTTCAAGGTTTGCAGCTTCTCTGAAGTCCATGATCTTGATTAAGTTACAGAGTAACTAAGATCATCACCTTTAACATCTTCAAAGGCTGTGAAGAAGTTATATAAAATCAAATTTAAATAATTGGAAGCCACAAAAATTAATGAACGCTCAAATGAAATAGTTAATACATACCTTTAATTCGCCTGCCATAGAATGTTGAATGTTGCTTGCATCGCATATGAGAGCTTCACAAGTTTTAATCCGGTTGGAAATTGGATGGAAGAGATTTTGAAAGGATATCTATCCCAATCAAGATATCTGAGCTTATTTGGAAAAGATACTCAAGACCCTCGAGAAATGTAGATTTTGAGTTTGAGAGCCCCAGCAGCCTTTTCATTTTCATGAAAGATTTAGCACTCAAATGTCCATCTTCTTGTTCACATGAATCTAGGACAATGCCTTCAACTTGATCGGTTCCCTAAACATTAAAGGACGAGAACAATGAAAACTGAGAACAAAATATATCTAACCAGTAGTTTTTAGTTGCATTGTGGTATGAAAAGACAAATTATTTATCGTATTTTTCGACAAGATATGATAAACATCTTTGTAAAGCCACAATCTGCTTCGCTTTCGTGGTTCTTCATAGCAAGATTGTCGAACAATTTCTCTACCCATTTCTCCGTTCAAAAAAAGACCATATAAAGTTTTCCTAATCTGCATTTCAACGCGTTAAAAATCAGACGGATGACCAATTCTATCTACTCTATTATTTTTTTTTTTTTTTTCACTTCTAAAAATCATTACTTTAATAATCCCAATCCATGGGATTTTTTTTTAATATTATTATGACCGTTCTCATATGAATTTTATACGAGATTAATCTTATTTTCAAATCTATAAATAATATTTTCCGTTAAACTCAAATGGGTCATACCAAGGAGAGTAGCTTTTATTTTATGGTAGTTATTAGGCATGGCCGGTTCAGTGAACCGCCGGTTTGAGATGTCTAAAATTTTGAACCGGAACCGACCCTGGAACCTCCTGTTCCGGCACGGTTCAGCACGGTTCCGGCGAACCGACGGTTCAAATTACGGTTCCGACATTACGCAAATTTTTAAAATTTTTTCCCCCCCCGCGACATTACGGCAAATTTTTTAAAAAATAATAAAATTTTGATTCCGAATTCATGAATAAATAATAATTTTAAAATGTTTAAATTTATTAACTAAATGAATTATTATAAATTTTTTAAAGAAAAACATCTATTACTAACTTAGAAAACTATTTATTCATTAAATTTACAAATTTTGCTAATTTACTAATATAATAAACTATAAATGGAATATTAAAATTAATGGATGAGTTTTGGAAATTTATTATTTTCAAATACTAAGAAAATTATTTTAAAAAATCAAAATGAAGTAAATTTATAAATGGAAAAATTTGAGATTAGAGAAAGAATATTGGAAAATTGGATGTAAAGAAATAAAAATAAACAATAGTAATTCCAAATATTAAGGAAATAAAGCAATAGAAAAAATAATGAACTAATGGAAATTGAGAGAATTTTGATTGAGAATATGAAACATCCCGATTTTATTTTTCGAAACTTTCGAAATTTTTTTATTAATTAAAAAAAAAATCGCAAATTTTGGCCGCGTGGGCTGCAAACGTAATACAGTCTCAACTCGAGCCAAATTTTCGAATTGGGCCCAAGCCCAAATAAATGTCAAAAATTTTGAATCGTAAACAGATAAGATTTTTGAGAAATAATATGAAACCCCGTAATTTAACCTATTATGAATATATATAAATTATTTATCCTAAAAATCAAATATTGTTACTATTAATATTTTTATTATTATTATCATTGAGTAAATGGAGAAAAAGTTACGGAACCTAATTAAAACAATCGAAATAAATGGAACCGGACCCGGAAATCAAATTGATTTTTGGAAAACCACACGAATAACCTGAAAACCAAGTTCGAATCGAACCGGAATAATCTAGAAACTGATTTATTTTCTTTTTCTTCCTCTCTTCCTCTTCTTTCTTCGTTTTTTTTCAGCAGGAGTGGCGACCCCTCTCTTCTTCCTCCCTCCATTGGTTTTTCGGTGACCTCGTCATCACCAAATGGCTCCAGTCCTCTCCATCATCGATGGCGAGCTTCTCCCTCTCCTTCTTCATCTCCGATTCTGGCAAAGCCTGGGAATCACGAGCAAGTCACCATTCTGTTTCGCTCGAGACAGTTGCGTCTCCGGCGATTGAGGACCAGTCGAGTGGTCCTTCTCATCGGCGACAACCCTCCAGTCTCTCTCTCACTTCGTGTAGTTGTCGTTAGCGCAGCAAGGGAGGCGCATGGGTTGTGTTAAACTGATCTACACAGCCCCCATTTTCTGCTTTTCTTCCCGTTTTTCGGCCCCGTTTTTCTGGCCAAATGAGCTACTACTAGTCAACAAACAAGCGTTAGATTTTGGGCTCTCAAGAAATTTCGGCAATTTGGTGTGGACCAACGTGACTCTGGGCAGAATTCGACTTTCCGGCCACCGTGAACGGCGGTCCGGAGAGTCTCCTGGCGAGGCGAGCCTCCGGCGAGGCACCAAGGGACAAAATCTTCCTCTCTTTGTGAGGATCGTGGAATCGTCACCTGAATTTCGATCGGTACGCCTGATCATGGAATCATCATCCGACTTTCGATTGGTACGCCCTAAGACCCAGTTCTTAATTTTTGTATAAATTTCAAATTTAATTGATTAGTAAATTAATCGATTATTTAAGAAGATTTAATTAAATAACAAGAAATTAGAGTATTGGGATAGTTATATGTAAACAAAACATTTGTCTTTAATCGAATATGATTCCTCGTTAGGGAACCTCGTTAGATAAATACACTAAATCTTGAAATTTAGGTTACAAGTCATTTAGAATAATTGTTACAAATTGAAATGTGAAAGATAAATTGGAATTAGTTAGTTAATTAGTATAATCATTAGCTTAAAACCAGTTGGTTGTGCATAAGATAATTAAGAGGTGTTTTCAAATGATTAACGGAGTTTAGATGTATAATTCTGATAAACTAAGATTTCGAAAGCCTAACCACTTCTGATATGGATATAAGAATATAAGAATCAAATCTAGATAAATAATAGTTATAAATAGTTATTGTTAAAAATGGGTTTTAACAACTTAACAATTTAATTACCACAAAGTTATTAATTTGGTCAGCTTATGATTTAGCAAATAATTTTATATGAGTATTGTTGAAACAGGTTGAAAGTTGTTATATTTATAAACTTATGGTTGAGATAATTGGGTGTTGATACTGATGTTTAAGGAGGATGGGACTTAAATTGTTGATTGCCCGACGGATGGGCTGCGTACATTGATTGATAAATATATATAATATTGTGATATTTGAGCAGCGACTGTTCTTCCATAGAACAGTTGCGTGGCGCGACTGTCTCCCATTTCCAGTTTATCTTTATTATTTTATCTTAATTTTGTTTCATTAAGCAGATTTTCTTTTGAATCTCGATCCGGAAAATGATCAATAATGGGCAAATTGAGTCTTAATCAAACCAAATAAATTAACTATTGATGATTATGAGATTTTCTTTAGAATTTGTTTCTTATTGTTCATTATTGATGTTATTATTAAACTCGGTTTGTGGCTCGCCTTTAACCATAAGGCAAGAGCGGGTCTTTTTATTTTATTTGATATGTATGGTGGATAAATGATGGATGTGATGTTTAATGTATGAATGAATGCAATGGATGAGTTTACTTGGGACGATTAAATAATTTTTCACATAGGAGCTCGGTTCGATCCATTCGGGTTGGGTTTAAATAATTGGCTTTTCTAAAATAAAATCAATTAGAAATCGTAGGTTAAAAGAGGCCGGTTTTCCGGGCGTCTTAATATGATATTTGACCGTGGCCGGGAAAATGGGAGAGTCGGCGCCCCCGTGTACACCTGATGATATGGAATTATGTTGGAAAACGCACAGGATGGCTTCTTGTTGTTGCGCATCTGATAATCTAGATTTGATTGTAGCCGCAAGGGTGGCCTCCTGTTGTGTAGCAACTTTTGTATGATCTGATTTGATCTGTAGCCCGCAGGGTGCCTCCTGTTTGTGAGCACTTGATGATCTAGATTGGATGGAGACCACCGGGTTTGCATCCTGTTGGCATGGAAAAGAAAAGAGAGAATGAGAAATACAATGGAGGCAACTAGGTCAGTGAGGATTAGTACCATTTGGCCGTAAGGGGGATCGGCTCCCTGTGGCACATGTATGGAGAGGGCCGAGCCCATGTGTGGGGGTTTCGGTGACGCCACAGACCAATTTCCACGTGATGTGATATTAATTGTGATTACTGGTGATATGTCATTTGTGTGACTGGCTGTATGAGCATATAACTAGTCGGACGACTAGATTAATATGTTTACACATTTGTGTGACTGCGTGTGTGGTGTAAAATTATTACTCCTTAGAAAACTCACATGTCTTGTTCCTTAGAAAACTCACATGTCTTGTTTGATTTTTCAGGAAGTAGGTTTTTCCTTTAATCCGATTTAGGCTATGTTTCTTCGGCGCAGGGCAATAAAGATTTTTTCCTAGTTCTATAATTATTTTGCGATGTACACTAACAGTTAGTGACTTCGCAGTTGTAGGATTTGTATACTTTTAATCGTTTAATATTTAGATGAGATAATTATGTAAACCCATTTAATAAATGTAATGCATTGTTAATTAGGCCCGAACTGTGGAATGTTGTAGCCGATAAATTTGGGCCGAGATTTAATAAAATATCGAGGTTTATCTTTCGTAATCATATGGGTTGAATGTGGAAATTTTATATTTTAATACCGAGATAATAGAATTTTAGCGTTTCAGGCTTACTAACGGGGCCTCAGGGGGCCTAAGCTTACTTGGGCCCCTAGTTGCCGGTCCGGCCTACGGAAATGGGTCGTGAACAGAATTAGAGAAGAGTTTAGGATATAATTGATTGTGAAATAAAAAATCATCAACTCATCATATTTATACATGTGTTCCTCATTTATTAATTTTTCCAATTGTCCCGCTTATATATTTAGTAAATTATACAGTAATAAATAAATTGATTAAATGAATAAATTTTTATTTACCAAAAAAATAAATAAAAAAAACACCTATCATATAAAAAACTATCCGTTACACTCTTTTTTTGTACACTTGAAGTATTTTTTTTTTAATATAAATCATATTCATGTAGCCCAATTTTTATATAAATTTAAGTCAAAAAATGTGTATTTTTTCACAAACTTTTTTATAATTTATGTACCATTTTACCTTCTCTCAACATATAAATCAAATCAAACTACATCAGGAAATTCAATTGATATAATTTTTTTATAAAAATTTTAAGCACAATTTTTTTGTGTATGCCGGTTCGAACGCGGACCGGAACCCGCCGGGTTCACCGCCAGTTTCGGGC